GGATACGCCGGGACAAGTCTTCTTACATAGCTATTCTCCGGTAGGCATGGGTTTCTACGCGATGCGAATTTGGTTCACGAAAATTTCATTCGTATCTCATCGCTCTCCCCCAGGCATTCGTACAGTCGGGTAGGATGAGGACACTTTTAACGCGCCTGCCGCAGGGATGTGGTGGGCTGTCGGGACGATGATAGTGAGGCTGACGAAAGTGCAATTAGACCGTCTGAAGCAGGCATCGAGGTCATGCCAGGCGCACCCCGCGCGGTGTCTGTTTACATTTTGCTCCGTGGGTCCGGTTGATTGAGGAGGGTGGAACTGAGTCTGGTTGGTACGTTTGGATGTCATTTGTACTGACCCTGGTTGTACTGACGGGATGGAACGCCGCAGAAATCGAGATTCCGAAGGATTATTGTTTTGAACGACCAAGCGTCTACGTACACATACGAGCATAGCGATTACCTGCCCGCTGGGAAACGAGTTTGCTGTTTGCTTTTTGTTGTCAAACGTAATCATAGAAGAAACGACAACAGAGTTTCCTGGCAGAGATGCACACAGCGTTATTTCGACGACACTACCAAATTACCTCTGATGTTGTTCGAGCCACGTGTTTTCTAATCACCAAATCCAAACAGGAGGATAGTCTCGATAGTTGGTGTCTTAATGGTCCCCCTATTGCCGATTCGCCCCCGCTCGGTTGTTTCCGCCCCTGAACACGCACGATTGTTGACAACGCCCACAACGTGACAGCCTTATGGTGTTCAAGCCGACCTCACGTCAACAATATTCAAAGACAGCTCTACCGGATGGTGAGTCGATGATAGGCTCGATGACGTGCAACGCCAAGCACTCTCTAATGACACGACATAGAAAACGATCTTGGCCATCCATAGCATAGAGGTCTTGGTCCGGCAAGAGAAAAAAAATACCTCCGCCACCAACAACCCCTTCCCTCTTCTCTTGCACCACAATTCGAAGGCCACTTCCGTGTCTAGCCCCCACATACAAGTTTCCACGGCTAATAATCGTTAACATCAACGGTGCCTCGTCATCCTGTTCACGTACGCCTTGGTCCTGGTCATCAAGTACGGGGCAGCAGACACAGATTCAAGCGGCAGTGCCGCGTTCTCTGTGGCGTTGGTCGTCGTGAACATGATGATGTTCTCGTCCATCTGGTAGAACGCGTGTACCACGGCGAAGACGATATTCAGCAGGAGTCACGCGCCGGTTAATTCGCGACCTACACGGTTCACAGTCGCTGTACCGTTCGTGTCCTGAGTTTGGTCGTTGCGAAACACACGGACATATGTTTGTGCCCCCGTTTAGTTTTTTTTTCGGTTTGGCAATGTGTATGTCCATCCAAGGACGACGTGCTTCGTCGGTGGAATCTTGTTCTATCACCGCATCAGCTTTCAAACGGGACAGACAAACGCAGTGCAGAGGATTCGTCTTCAATCCCCACCCACCGGCGCGCTTGTTTGAGTCCACTGGGTGTTCGTGCCAAGGAGGGGCCTCTTCTGAAAGATGTATGCTTGGCGACTGTTTCTGCTTCGCTCTACAGGACGTGCTCCTCCGTGTACACATCGTTGACGAGAGCACGATCAACCACTTCATTGGCCAGGAGAAGAGCAAGACTAAAGAGTCGATGGGAGCGACCGACGGAGATGCGAAGACCGAGAACGGGCAGGAGAGCCCATTATTGGACGACGTCCCTACCTCGGCGTTGCACTCGACGGTCGGAGGCAATGCCGGCGACAAACGTCCCTTGACAATTTCGGCTGCTACGCCGTCGAGCCAGGGATCTTCCCTCGGAAGCAGCCTGCGGGTTACGTTGCCAAAGATTACCGCCAACTCGCCTGAATGGTCCGCCTCTGAGGGACCACTTCCCCGTGTCTCGGCCGCACTTGCCGGCGCTTTGTTCTTCGACACCAACAAACAAACGACTGGAAACAATGCCACAAACCGGGTTGTGCGCGAGACCCTCGACGTCGCAACAGCAGCATTGTCGTACTTCCGTCGTGCAACCGCTGGTGTAACTCTGCCAGCTTTCAGGGCCTTATTCATCATGGTCACGGCGGCCGTGTAGTCATTCTGCGCGTTTCGGACGTCCTTGTCCCATAGATGCTGGGCATGCGCGCATTTCTGAAACCAAGAGCACATGATCGCTAAGATTTCCCTCCTGTCTAGCACACCAACAGAGGTGTTGCATCGCACCGCAAGCGAGATGGACGAGCCACGTCTATGGACTTAACTTGGGCAACGAGTGGACGGCCACTAAACTCCGAGGTCACCTATTGCCTTCAGCCGGAAGTATCTCGACTTGCACTTCTTGGCACGGGCTCTGGCTTTCGCTGCACTTTGCGTCGCGACCTCCCGTTTCCTGTTAGGGGTGCCAAAAAAGATCAACGATGCCAGATTTGGGTACAGGACGTGAGCGAACCGCAGTCAAGTTCTCGCTGGAGAAAGCTTAAAGTTTGGTCGGGATACGAACGCAACGGGAACAAATCTACACCAGACGCACCCCGTCCTGGCCTGTAGACTTGTTTGGCGACTAGCGGCCCCCGCCCCGGTCATGCCCGACTCGTCCTCCACCCCTGTCTCCCCTTCACCGCCCTTCCTTCTCCCCTGGTGTCACCTCATCCACCTTTCCAACCCCTCCCTGTCTAGCTCTCCCGTACCCTCGCTTCCACCCCTCTTCCGGTCGTCTCCTTCCTCCGCACCCGCGCCAGAGCCCGCCCGCTTGCCCGCCTCAACCCCGTCTCTCGGAGTTACGCCCATGCCGCCGCTCTGCGATTTCATTGCCTTGCGTTCTTCACGGTCGTTGCGACGCCTTTCCCGTTCATCGTGCTTACACCATTTCTCCTCCTCCTTGCGCTTTTCAAGCTCCCTTGCTTCCGTAAGCGCTGCTACCTCCAGCTGCAAGCAATTAACTTCTTTCTTCTCTCGCCTTCTTCGCCTGCCGCCTAGAAATAGCAGCCTCATCCGCCGCTCTTATCGCCGCCGCTGCAGAGTCCGAACCGGCCTGCACTCCTAGCCTCACCTTGTGCGCGTCTTGTTCACCCTCGGGCTCCTTGTTCAGAACTTGGTCCGGCATACGCGGGTGGAAGTATCGCAAGAGGCACCGGGTGAGCGACAAAACACCTGCGTCTCGGGTGCAGACCACTAGCACGTACAACATGCGAGCTTCACCGTCTTCAACTTGCCAAGCAATCTGCTCTATATGGGCAGCGACTCACCAGCGCTTGGGACAACGGGGGTGCTGCCCTGACGCAAGGAAACAGAGGGGTCAAGCGGTCCTTCTTCGAGACCCCAGCGAAGTGACACCCTTCATTGCAGTCGGGCGAGTTCGTCACCTCGACGGGGTCGTCTAGCCCTCCTGCACCTGCTTGTGTGCAACTGGACGTCAGAACAACGGTGGCCTCCGCGACCATGCGCTCCCCGCCTCGTGTGTGCAAGCAGGACTCTGCGCATCAGGGAGAAGGTCCGAGAGAGGCGAGTGTTCTCCATTTTGCAACCTTTTCTTCCCGTACCGCAAATTTTCCCAGGCGTCGCCGAAGCCTCATCAACTGTGTACATCCGTATTTATTATTTCTGCCGAGACCAACCACCTCCCGACGAAAGGACAACAATGAACAATATTGAAAAAAAAAAATGTGTGGACCAGGCCAATTTGACGAGCCACACCTCTTTCTCCATCTGTTTCGCAGAACGTCGGATGACAATGCCGCTAGCTCTCCACGGGGCGCAGGGAACACTTTCTCAAACGTACAATACGTTGAGACGAAGGCCTTGGTCTGTACTTCGTGCTGTTTACGTACAGCGCAACAGCGGCGGGTGCGGAGGGTGCTTGGCTGCAGTACTGCTGTAGTATAAAAGTAGCGCGATACGGTACACGGGTGGCCAGACGCAGGTTATGCGTAGGTTGGGGCACCAACTACAACCTGGGGGGGGAGGTTGTAGGGAGGTTGCAGCCCAAAGCGTGCAAGGTATCCCGCATCTTGGATAGTGGCGTTATTGCAATCAACACGGCGGCTGCAAGCCTGAAGAAAAAATGGGTTCAAGGTCGAACTCGGCCTCCCAACCCCCCCCCCGCCAGGTTGTAGTTCGTGCCCAACCTGCCCCTCTGGCCACCAGTGTAGGCAAACAAAGAAAAAAAAGCACCCGCTGTAATCAATGCACCGGCTGTGCCAACAAATCTCTGCTGTACAGCAACAACCACTGCCTTACAGCGTGCTACACTACAAGTTTGGAGAGGAAGGCACAGCTGTGATGTGCGGTGATGTGCTGTGCTGTTAGGCAGGACGTGTGTGTGTGGAGACCAAGAAGAGACCGAGGTTTTTTTTCTTCAGTAGGCGATATGGAGTCTACACCGAACTGCTGCTGCTGCTGTATAGTCTAGACTCTGTGTCGTAGCTCTTACCAACCTCTCCTAGCAAAAGGATACATAGGTTTCTCACACGAGCAAGGCTAGGTTCCTCACCCCAACACAACCCTAACCCTCACCCACGGCCAACGCACGGCCTAGCGGCCGCAAACTGGGCGAGCACGCCGCTGCGCCACTGCGAGAGGGCGCTGGAGAGGAATCCGCCCCGAACGGTGCTGTGTAGAACCAACGCCAAACAACGCCCGACCAATCAGAAAGCGTTATTGAAGAGAACAAAGATGCAGCAGTTGATTCTTGTTCTCAAACGCCCGAATGGCGCTTCCTCTTCGGTTTTTGGGGTAGAAATATTCTTCCCTATAGAGCTAGTCCTCCCTTGCCGCGTCTGTCGGCCTCAAACCTGTTTGTGGCTGTTGCTATCATGCCGCCAAAACTGGCCAAATTTGCTGGTTTTCTAGCACAATATGTTGCGTTTTGGTACAGGGGATAGGCTTGTGTTGTCCCCTCCGTGTCACAAAATTGACATGGACGTCCATGGCTCTATATGCATGATGAGCCGCTGTTGCCGGTAGATCTAACCACCCCGTATTAGTATCCAAACACACGAACATTGTCGAGGGGAATGGAACTTGTAGAGCTCGACGAACACGGCAAGGACAAATATGGCATCTCGAGAGGCCCCATCCCCATCATCAACGCCGCCGGGAGAGGTTTGTCGAAAATCGTCAGGAAATTGGTCGAGCAGGGACACGATGTATCGCTAACAAACGACGCTGGTTTCACGGCTCTGCATACTGCGGCCCACCACGGCCACGCCGACATCGCGAGGGTACTGGCCAAGGCCGGCTCGGATCTAGAGGCGACGACCCTCGAAGGCGACACGCCGCTTCATTTGGCCACGAGCGTGGGGGAAACTGCAGCGATGAGGGCCCTGATCGAAGAAGGCGCTTCCGTCGACAGCCGTAATCCCGGAGGGGCGACACCGCTGTACATTGCGGCGATGCAGGGACACCTGGGCGCGGTGAAGGTGCTCCTTCACGCCAAGGCAAACCCTCTGCTGACTTGGTCATCGGAATCTTCAGGCAGGAGCTTCGTCCCGCTGGAAGTCGCGGCGCAGACCGGCCGGTCGGCAGTGGTGAGCGAACTGTTGCGCGAATTCGGTATCCGTTGTTGTGGTGGGCCGAGTGGTGGGTTAGATGCTCTCCGCGTCGCCGCAGTGTATGGACAGGTTGACATAATGTCGATGCTCATGGATGCCGGAGTGGTGGATCCTGTCGGTCTAGCCCTGCTCGCCGCCGTCGGGAGCGGCAAGGAGGCAGCGGTAGGGTTTCTTTTGCGGCAGCAGGAGGAGCGGTGGCAAACTTCTTACGTGAACATCGCCCGCGACGACGATGGCTTAACGGCTTTGCTGTGGAGCTTCCGGGGTAACAAAAACAAGCCGTGCAACCCCAGGATCACGCGGCGTCTTGTGGACGCAGGGGCGGACACGACCTCGGCCGTGCAGCTCCGCGCCAAACGCAGTCGCACCTGCGTCAATGTGACGCCACTGGAGTACGTGAACGATTGGGCCCTTCGTGAAACCAACGGAGACCACCCTGCAACCGACGAGCAACTGCTCCGGCTAGAGGCTACCCGCCGCGTGCTTTTGCGAGTGGTGGCCGTTCACGCAGTTTCTTGGATATGGCCCAGCGATGCCCCACTTCTCGCACGTCCCGCAAATAGCCCGAGAACGGCCAAGCATTCTCCGACTCAGCTGACGACGGTGCTGCCGGTCTTGAGGCGGAGGGCGGGAAGGCGTGCTTTGCTTTGGGACACGCTGTTCAGGTGGGCGGTGACGCAGTTTTTCGACCGAATTGTTGAGCGGTTTTATTTGGTTTTGTCCTGTGCCATGATTTCGCGACGTAGCGAAACGGTTTTCCTACGTTTGTTGTGTTCCTGTCTTTGCTCTGGTCGACATGCTCCCGTCGAGGTTACCAATAAAAGAGACGTCGGGAGATCCCTGGGCGCCCACACGGTGACGTATGCCAATGGGTCGCGCGTTGTTATATTATGATCAACGGGCAGACAGCACCAGCACCAGCACCACCTCCACTACCACCACCTCTCTTTTCTCGCTCAGGCCGCTCATTTCTCGTCTCTTCGTTCCTTTATGATTGTGCTGCTGCTTTGTCAGGTATTCGAAGAAGTCTTGACTGGGAGTGACTGGTGAGGCGCGTCGAATCTCGTCACGTCTTCCGTAGTGCTGCTTTCCTTGTCGATTGGGTTAGAGAGAGATAAAGCCGGGTGGCAGCAGCGCCTATGGAAACCTCTGAAATGCGGGGGCGTCTGGCGAATGCTGTGTTGATGATTTGTTTCGCGTGGTGTTTATTGAAAAAGGCACCTAACGCGCCATGCACCTACATCCGAACCGAACTTGTCTTTTCTGGGTACATCCTAAGTGTGTTTTTCTTTCGTTTTCTCAATTGTTATTTCACCTCACATCCCGGGTAGTGGGGAGCGGAGGGCTCCAAGATGTTTCTTGAATTGTGATTTATCTTTTTGCTCCATCTTTCTTTGTATTTTATCGCTCCGCTGACCCCTCGGGGGTCCCTTTTTGTTTTTTACATGCCTTTTTTTAGGGAAGTTAACCTGTGACCGCGGACCGCGTCAAGTGTTGGATTTGTAAGGAAAGAGGGACAGAAGGAGGTATTGGATAGAGCGACCGCGACAGTTTTTAATGAGATGACAACAAAAACAACAACAACAACGACGACGACAACATCAACGGTCTCCGGGGACGTACCATCGGTTGTGGCCGTGTGTCTCCATGAAAAATTTTCGCCAAGCGTTTTCATCAGTCTTGCAACATGTAGACCGTGTTTCGAGCTGGACACGGTGCTGCGAGGTTCAATCGGGTGCTGAAGGCACAAACTCGCGCACTTGCGAAACATGTCGCTCATGATCTCACAGACGTGTTAGCCGAACGTGAAGTTTCGGGGCGCAAACGGCCCCCAAACAAAGCGCGTGCGTACAGGACCCTCAGTTATGTCACAGAGGCACAGGATGTCGTGAGGGTGCTGAACATGGCAATACCGAAGGCACCAGCCGGTCACCGGTTTTTCTGCTGATGAAGGCACACAGCTTGTGGTGGCTGTGTGAGAGCCAGCAGATCGCTGCCCCTCTCCTTTTTTTGTTGTCCGTATGTGCTCAGTATGGTCGATTGGCTCCTTGGCCTGTTGAAATGGCATGACCGTACTTAAACAATGAGTCGTCGACCACCCCCTGTCGACGACAACGGTATCTGTCATTTCTACAAACGTTTTCAATGTTTCCCACATAATGGGTTGCTCCCGACTCGCCCTCCCTCCACTCGTCCGCGGTAGGAATGGGAGAGATTGAGATGAAAGAGGTAGGCGATGAGTGGCGTCGACCATAGCAAACACGGGCGGTCCTGGTCACCGTCGGGGTAGTTCCAACGCAAAGTACCTTCCGAAACAGAAAGGGGGGTGTACAGAAGAGAGGACACAACACATTTTCGTTTCGGCGATACTCTTGTTGCATAACGAAGGATTGGAAAGTTTCAAAATGAGGCTGAATCTCTGCACGTAGGGGGATACAAGGAGGTTAAATATGTCAAGCTACAGTAGAGTAAGGTGGATTTGCTGAAGCAAGCACCATTCCACACGGAATCGATGGGTTGCCGCGGGGGTGCAACACAACCGGCAAGAGGATACAGACGGATACAGACGTTGTCTGTATCCGCCAGTACCACAACCATAATGCCTGCCTGGACAACACCTCGCTGGAGGCACAAAGGGCTTGGGTGGGATATCACTCAACAGCAGCTTGGTCATCAATCGAAGTAACGACGGAGGTTAAGAAATATGTGTTCTTGCCGCCTGATCCTCCAGACACTTGCAGAGTCAGAACGCACCATGCGACATGCAACGAACGAAGCCATGTGTTTTGGGGTGTGACTCGTCATAAGACCTTCCGTACACGGTATGCACAAAACGACGTGTTCTCTCAGGCAAGCCGGAAAACTTGCAGTACTTGTTCAAGAAGGTGATGGTAGCAAGTGTAACCGCGATGTCATCAGAGAGAGAGAGAGAGAGAGAGGAGTTAGGAGGAAGATGTATCAAAGACCAAACACTGCAAGCTGGTTCGCTGTGATGGCAAAGGAACGGGTTCGGGTATTCAGTCTAATGAGCGTGAGCAAACGAATACGACCAAGAGAGGGCAACTTCAAGCAAACGGAGGTTTGCCGATTGCATCATGAACACAACAATATGAATCTAGTCCGCCCTAAGTGCTCCAGCTTGTGTACATCAAAGAAAAGAGACTAAGGCACTCATTGTTGAAGCACGTACAATGTTTTCACTCGGGTAGTGGGCTCGAAAAACGTCGATGATCAGACCCCCTCAGATCCATCACCAGCTCCTCGTCCCCATCCGCTGCTTTGAACAGTTGGGCCTCTGACAAGGGATTGAGTGGGGTGACGCCAACAGGAGAGGTCTGCGGCTCAGGAACATGGAGGTCACCAACGATTCGAGTGGGTCAGGGGATTGCATAGCCTACAAGGTACAGTCTATTGCGTTCTGAGGAAAATCAGTTGTGAGTTCGTTAGTAGACGAAGGCATCGAACCCCTGCCCCATCTGTCGGCAACGTATCGAGACCGTGGCAATCGAGATACGTAAGAACTGGAGGGTCGCAAGAGATTCAAGCCCGGCGTCTGACTGAGGTCTAGCGTATAGCTTGGCGATGCCACCCTAGGCACTAGTCACAGACAAACGCACCCCGGTCCAAAGCTATGCGCTTCTGGAACTTATTGAGTAGGTTTTGCTCAATCATTCGGACGATGTCGTCGAACGGTTCCTTAAAGATGCTGACCCGTTCCTCGACACTGAGCTCGTTGAAGGCCTCCCTGTGGTTCGGGATAACGACGGAACGGGTATTCAACATGGCCGGTCGAGTGTAAGGTGTTTTCAACGATATCCGATCACTGCGGACGTCTGCTGAGAATGCCGAGCCCACGACACGACCACTCTGGAGCTCTAGCGCAAGTTGAAATCGAGGTGGTGTCACGTTCTCCTTATTGCCTTGCTACGAGTGTTGATAGACGGGTGTCCATCTTCGAATCGCGAGGCCCCCAAGGGGTTGGGATTCCTGGGATACAGTTGCCAAAGACGCGTAGGAGTACTGTACCTTGTTCTGAATGGCGCGATGCGTTTTTGCATTGCGCTGGATATGTTTACCTCATCGGGTGACGTGGGAAGCAGGTAATGGTTCAGGATGTGCAACAAGCTGTTGAAAGACCGTCCTCAGGGCTTCTCTCGATCTGCAGTATATTTTCACGACATAGCGCGCAAACGAGGTGAGCCCGTTGGGGTGAGAAAATTTCCACAAACACGACCCGACGGGTATCAAATCCCGCCCGATAGCAGACAATTGCTCTGTTGGCGACGTTTTCAAGTCTCGACCCTATGTATGTACAACAAATTCCCCGGAGTGGAATCATCTATCGATTCTTGCCTCATCTCAACCTTACCAACCTGATATCCAAGATGCATGGTGTCGCCCTTTCGGTATGCATGCGGAGACCTAAGGTTTTTGTGCGACACTGGGTATATCAAGGGAGCATCATCAAATGTCATGTTCTGTATTTGGTTGTTGTACATGTGCTTACGAGGCTTGACGCCATGCGTTCGTAGCGGAAAACGTCGACGAGGAAATCCCAGCTCTCCATGCACAAGTTCTCTTGGCAGAAATTTCCAAACTGCTCAGCAATTTCTCCACCACTGCTTGCCAGCCCTACCACGCCATCCACATCCAACGCTGACGCGGCAACCGTCTCTTCGACAGGAACCACAGTGGCCCTGAACCATGCCTGCACCCCACCACGGTGGGCTCTCACCATGGGAAGGAGCAAGCTGCGTCGATGCGACAGCCAATATATTGAGCAAGATTAGCGCGGGCGGCCAAATGGTGGAGCATTGCCTTGGCTTTCATTGTGGCTTCATGCAGGCGGCACGTGAGAGAAACAGTTCTCCCCGGACAAAATCACGCCCTGTTATACGTCCTCGCCAAGAGGGGGGAGGGCTGACTACATAGCACGGGCCTGTATCACGTCCCACTTGGAAGCCAAACCCTATTATGTCGGCGCGGACGCAGAGCCTAAGCGAATGTGCCTGATTCTCAGGCGAATCAACCTGTTCGAGGCATAATAACTACCGACTGCGACAATGAACTGTGTCTCACCCCGAAATTCCACTGTTCATCCCCACCAGGAGCGCTTGCACTTCGACCACAACGTGAAGCGCGGATGTATTGGATCATATTTCCAGTTCCACCAGCACCTGGATCACCCACAGTACAGCTGCGTATAATGCAGAGACAGAGGTCCAGGGACAGCGTAGCGTGTTGATTGGTGGGTCCAACGTATCATCACGCAATCGTAGGTGAATATTGCTATTCCAGAATCTGTCAGTCTTGGCTCTCATCGTGCATGACGCACGGCAAGCTGAGGATGGCCGCAACTTGACCGCAAACTTCCTCTGTACGCCCTGGGGGCGTGATAATGGTGTATGACACGTATGACAACGATGAAACAAGGCCTGTTTTTGCATCTCAGAACTCGTACCACTGACGGAAAACACTATTCGTCTAATATATCCTCCCCTCTGCATGAGGACGCTCACCCTACTCTTGACTGGTGTCGGAAAGCCTTCCGAGAGAGGGTCTAGAGTGCAAAATGGAAGAGCTAACATAGCTTTGTGTAACGTTTAGATAGCTATTTTTCCTCACCTACGCAGCAGGAGCAGCCGATGAACACACAACACAATTCCTCACGAAGGTTGAAGGCGTCGTTTACTGGCGATATACGTATGGACAAACACGACATCGGCGCTGCGCCACAAAGGAGTACTGCTCCCGCGAGAATGATGTCGTCCCAGTAGAAACACTCTCGCATGTCACTGCAGAGCAGAGAATAAGAGCAGTTGAGCCGGGAGATCGGAGGATAAGTGTACCCCCAAAACTCGTTTTCATGTTGCGCTCGATTGACAGGTCTCCGCGACCATGACCGTGCTTAGGCGTTTATCGAAAGTGGGATGCATTGGTGCATACTCGTCGAGGCGAAAGAGAAGGGTGATGGGGCAAACGCTTGGCAGCGCACCTTCTTCCAAGGCTACGGTAGCAATGAAATGCTACGCCACGTTGCTGGTTTATCTAAACGTTCGAAAACGTGACCCCAACGCTTGCATGACACCTGCACCTGCCCATGGAACCGACATTTCGAAGGATCAAGCGTTCGGTTCTCAACCTGGAATGAGCGTTGACCCTTACGTACATAGTTCCCATTTGTTCTTTTACTACCGTGCCGTGATCTGAAATGATTGGTGGATGGACGTCGGAAAAATTCCATGTTCAGCAGTTCGTCGGTTTTACAAGCTACACGTACTCTGCAATCACATTCGGCCTTGCACGAGCCGTCCGCTCTGGCAGGCTTCAAGCTGTGCCTTTGGTTGTCACCTGGAGTAGTGTGCAGGATCGGTCCCGAAGAATATCCTGGCTCGGATGGTCAGCCCAATGCAGGCCACGGCCCAGAAGCCCAAAGCATAATTTCTCTTCACGAATCTAGCGTACTTGAGCCGATATTTGCGATTGTACGCGATCACCAATCGCACGGCCCGAATCACGTACGGGGTCGTGGAAAACATGAGCACTGCAACAAGAAAGTGTCCCAGCACGGCCGGATGAGGGGAGGGGGGCGTGGTGGAACGCGGTGGAAATTGATGTTTTCGTGGAACAAACCAAAAGATGGTACATACTTGTACAAGGCAACCAGCAGAAGTACATTGAATGGTGTGACTGCATGTTCCCCGACGGCATACATACGTGGGTTTCGGCTTCAAACCAAGTCAGTGAGTTCATATCGATTCCACGAAAGCATTGCAGTTGTGACAGCGGTATGCAAAAGACTGTAATAGTACTAGGTACCCTAATAGACTCCTCGTTCACAGGTTAGAACTAAGGCATTGGTGGTGTTCCCTTCGTCTTACCGCCGTAGGAGACGGTGAAGCTGACCCAGCAAGGTAAGGTGGTGCCCATGCTTCGTAGCAGCCAGTTTACGAGTGAAGGCGACCTCGCCGCTACCTCGAAGTCGTTCCTGTGCACAAAAAAACTCGACAACAAGACCAACCACCCGAGTACGACGGTCGCCAACGACAGAAGAAGAATCACGGGCACCCAAACCATGCCCGAGATCTGCTTGCGTCAAAAAGACCTGTACTGCTGTCCGGTCGATTTGGTTTTGCACCTCAACATACATACCGGATGCGCCGACACAGCGTACAAATTCAGTCCATTCACGAATATCTTTATCATTAGCATCGACCGGGCCAACCGGCTGACCAAAGTGAAAAGACGTCAACGATCTATTCCCCAAACGCCGCGCTGAACAACATGAAAAATGACGAGGTCTTCTGTTCTGTTCGTGGAAGCATATCAGTCAGGCTGTTGGCATCCTGTAAGTCCTGGTTCATCGGAGGAGCGATTTTGTCTCGCAAAAACACAGACTCTAACCAAACTCTAACAATTAGCCCAACGCACTGGAGGAGATAAACTCCATAGGTATGTACTTCAAGAACAACACACGAAGTCAGAACAAAATACAAGAGACTGACGAGATCCACGTAAAATATTCCGCTTGCTTTGAAGCGCTGTCTGGTTGTCGTCAATAGGTGAACAACGGCAGAATGATTTTTTCGGAGGAACACACACCACGCGTCTCAACTGTTGTATATCTAACGTGCACAGCCCGCACACACAAAACAAAAAACCGTAGACATACAGGTACTTTCTGACGCTATGAATTCATTGCAAATCTGTCTCAGACTATTTTCTATGATAGAGATGGATTCGTTGTGTCATATTAAGAAAAAAAAAAAAAAAAGAAGATACGGATGGAGAGGAACTGGAAAAAAAGATAACGGAGACAACCGCAACGACAAACCAGATGTTAACAACAAAGACGACGACCACAATGTTTCCTATGTTTCCTTTTCCGTATCTACATGAATGTACTCTGACTCGCTTTCCCGAATACTGAGTGTGAGAAGCTATGTAGCTACACTAGCCCCCACAGGTGGTGCGTGAGAAAATATACAACAAAGAGCAAGGCAGCGACTTTGCTAGCGAACTAGCGAACAGCGAACAGCGGGACAGCGGGCAACAATCCCGCCGCAAAGAACCAAACCAACAAAGAGCGGTGCAGTGTTGTCTCTGCTCACGGAGCCCCCACGGTGCCTGGCTGCTTGCTCCAAAACAGAAAAACGACCAACACACACCACGATGAGTTCCATCGGCAGCGGAGCCTTGGACAGAATCCTATCGCAGGTTCGCGCCCTCACCAATGCCAGGCGAACAGGGGGAAAGGAAAAGGCAGCGGCAGCGTCGGTAGTAGCGCTGGTGTACCTGGCGCTTGTCTTTCGGCAGGGGAAGCGACCGAAGCTCGTGTGCCGACGTTCTGGGCACAACGTACGCGTGCTGCGAGCTTTGGCAGGGGTGATCGACCGGCCGTACTACCCGTCGTGGCTCACGCCCAACGCGCACGTGAACTGTCTGCTGGGGTACGCCAAGAGAGGCATCACCGTCAGCAAAACCAGAGAGCTTATTCGTTGTTGGGGTGAGACATCGATTCATCTTCTCGATGCATGTGTACATGCTCGTACAGCATACATACAGCACTGCTGTAGACAACATGTGCGTGTTTCGGCAGGTTCGGGGATTGTGGGGCATCCCGTGATTTACTGTTTGTGATTATAGCAGTGCAGTGCAAGTTCGTTTTTCTATTTCTCCTATGATAGCAACGGCAAACTTTGTGGTATGCATACAATAGCGCTTATGATTCTCGGCTTGTGAGTCCCAAGATAAGCATCGGTACCCAAGTGGGAGCACAGGAGTAGATCGGGATCGATGACAACATAAATGGCAGCAGCAGCTATCTGCACACCAGCCAGCTGAACCATAGTAGTATACAGCACCCGTTTCCCGGAACACTGAGTGTGCATGCTCTCACGCCAGGCTACGTTGCGACCAACGCCCCCACAGGGTGACGACAGTTTTGCGCCGGTAGCGACGATTCTTTCAAGCACACGTGTAATCTGCGGTGAGAGTACGGCACATTGTACACCTGACGGCTGGTTGTGTGCAACAATCCCTCCGCAAGCCTGCAGCAACTTCTCGAGTTTTGCGATTGGCATCCATGCACTACTGCTGTTGTGTCAGAGAAAGAGCCATCCCCCGCTCTCTCTCGGGTTCTCCCCCCGCATCGCCAAAATCAAGCGTGCGGCAGAGCGGGTAGGGGGCGGCCGGGGGGGAACCTCTCGCTTTTGTAACGGTTTCGACAGGAGGAACGGAGTTGCACACAACCCGCCTTCCCCGAAGTCGACAGGGTGATGAGCCACTCTGGTGCAGCGTCGAAGGCTCGTCATGCGAAATACGTCAAAGCTTGGGAACACACGCCCGGCCACGAGCAGCAGCCACAACGTCCTCCCGCCGAGCCGCCCGTAGCAGCTGCAATTTTTTTACCTTCACCGTACGTGTTGTCCACCGTTATTTGGGCATCACGGGGCGTGGGTGGGTGCTATCGGGGCGCAGCCACCCACGCAACGACAACAATGAGAGCGATTGAGCGTGTGTACGGAAACGATGCTGGGCGATGACCCCTACCCTGCTGTTCTCTTCTTCTCAACATTTTTTTCCCGTTCAGATGGCGGGACCTTTGCGATGGACTGGCGAAATCGAGATCGCGACCAGCCGGACCTCCCCGCCGATGCCCCGACGCTGCTGGTCATCCACGGGCTCAACGGCCACAGCGAAGAAGCGTGTGTGCTCTATTCCATGGTGTGTGTGTGTTTCCCCCCTTTCGCTTTCAGAGAAAACAATGAACCATGCATAACAACCGTCGTACTACGTTTGTCCACTTCGCACCTGTTTTTGGTTAGCTCCTCCCACTGCTTCGCCCTAGCTCTATAGGTTTGAGGGGGTCTGTGGTCTGGGGAATACGGCCATGTATGATACCCCCCAGTTCCCCTTGTGAACGTGTGGAACACGTGTGTCGGAACCGTAAAGATCTCTCGGTTGGTGGTGGTGCCCCTTCTAGGGAATGGTCCGTGTCGAGAGTAGAGCCTGGTTCATGGCCTATTTCCTAGGACCAACAACGTCTGTAGACCCCCGCTGCGTGTCGTGTGTGCGGTATAAGCACCCCAAACACTTCAAAGAAACACGCTCTTGACAGGAAAACGCGCACAAGAGGGGCTGGAGGGCGGTGGCAATGAACCACCGAGGATGCGGCGGCACTCACCTAGCGTCCGGCTGGACATACAACGGAGCCTTCACCGGGGACGTTAGGCTGGCCGTCAGTCACGTCAGAAATAGGTACGGGAGGGGAGCGGAGGCACCGCGACGCACAAGGAGAGCCGGCGGAAGCAGGGGGGGGAAGGGTTGGCTATCCCTCGAACATGGCATCCGATATCGACGGCAGGGAAGGGGCTGCGTCGCGGACAGAGCCATACGGCCATGGATAGGGGGGGGGTGGGGGGTGACGCAGTCTATGCGGGCTAGGGAGGAGAAAAGTTTGTTGGCCCATTTGATGCCACCTCTTCGTGTCAAATGCAACCCCTTCCTGATCTCGGAAACTCAGTCTTCACCGCTCTCGCGGCTGGCGTGACATGTTGACATCGCGACTCCCTCCGTCAGACGGGAATGGAGCACGATGAAGATGAAAAGGCGTCGAATAGTTACCACACGGCCTACAATTGTGAAATCAGAGAGAATCCGCCGATTTTTCCCTAGAGCTGGCGGCGTTTTTATTCTCCAAAATCCGGGAAAAGTTTCGGGAAAACCAGGCGGTGGAGAAGCGGGGACGACTGTTGCTGCCGTATCTCAACTCGACTGAAATGATTATGATTGGTACCCCAAGGCGAAGGGCCAAGCACCACCACCCTCCTCCCCAAACCCTCCCTGTTGTAGGTATGACATCCCAGGGGCTCGGTTTGTTTCACACATGAGACGCTGCGCGAGTTGGTGGTGTACCCTTTTGTTCGGTCCGATCCCATGAACCGAATATATACCTAGCTGAATACTGTTTTCGTTTTCCAGACCTTTCGCGTATCACGGTTTTCTCTCTACAGAATCCCTTGAAAACAGCTACACACGATACCGCGCCAAACAGCAACAACCACAACCTCAACGAACATCGCCACCACAACAACAGATACCCAGAGGCGCCGTTGTACGCGATCGGGTACTCCCTCGGGGCGAACCTGTTGGTCAAGTACCTCGGCGAGGAGGGGCGGAACGGCTTCCGTCCCCTAGCGGGGGCCGTGTCCGTGTCCAACCCCTGGAACTTCGAGGACAACACGATGGCGAGCGGTCGGGCAAAGGGGCTCGTCGCCGCCGTGATGGGGAAAGTGTATTCCTGGGCCCTGGCCACCGGGGTGAAGGTTCGTGGTAACGCCTGTTTTGTTTTTTTTTCGAAGAAAAATTCAACATTCAAAGGATTCATCTCCATCAGATTATTCGTCCGGGATACAGTGGCAATGAAGCCATCGCGTTGTGTTTTTTTTTTCGGGCATAGGGTCTGTACTTGTACGCGTCTGTTTGTCAAGGAGAGGGCCTGACCGACTGGGGGAGTGATCAAGGTGGAAGCCGCGTAGCTTTTTTGTTGTTCTTCGTCCTTGGGGGCGGGCGGGCTCGCTAGGTTGTTTGTTCAGTCGGCGAATGTGGACCCCGTTATTGCTATTAATAGTGCTGGTGCTGGGCGCCAGTGCTGTTGGGTGTGGCTTGATCAACAAATGGAAGGCTCGTCTGTGCCGCTCGTGGAAGTTGTGTTCTCGAGGTGGCTATTTCATAGCCATACTGTTGGGTCACTACTGCTGCTGAGCTAATGTATTTTGGTCAGATATTTGGCAACCCCCACCCGTGGCGGCTATTAGGAACCGTTTCGCTCTTGAATGTGTCGATCACAGCCCCGTGCCCATTCTCCGAACGTGACGGCGTGTTGTGTGATGTTTTCCTCCCGTGTGCGCGCTGGACGTTGGACTTGCCAGGTGCATGTATCCAATACCCCCCTCCCCCCGTCTGGTGCTCCCCCCACCGCCACCCGAACTCGAATGCCATCAGCAGTAACGACGGCCATGAACGACAACAACCGACCTGACTGTAGCCCGTCTTGCGTTTCAATCAGGCGTCGATGAAACCGCACGTCGACAACGAGTTCCTCCGGCGGCGAAAGGATATAGACTTCGCGGGGAGCTTTCGAGCCATGACCCTCTGGGAGATCGACTCCAATGTAGTGGTGCCCATGTGGGGCTACACGGACGCGGCGGTAAGGTCCAGCGATGCATTCTTGGTTGTCGGAGCATCCAAGCTGCTTGCTGTGTTGTTTCTCCGCGTGACCTTGTATGAGTAATTATTTGCTGCGGTTCAAGTCAGAAACATCACGTGATTTGGGAAGAAGTTTGTCTGGCCCCACTGGTTTTTGATCACGCGTTTTGTTTGCTTGCGGTGATTTGTAGAACATGCGCGTCACGACTGATAGAACCGTTGGAGAGCGACAGTAGTTCCGTTGGTGACCGATGTCCGCATTTGTCAAGGTTCCGAATCACCCTGCCGCGCCCCGCCCCCATCACCTACCCTGCAGAACCTCCGTCTCGAATGACGAACACCACCGAGACTAGCCCCCCCTCGGCTGGCTTAGTTTGTAATCACCGGCGCCCCCCCCCCCCCCCCCCCCCTCACTACCACAACGACTTCCGGGCTTGAGTGCACTATCACCAAAGATTTTTCGTTACCACATAGCGAATGCCTTGTTTTGAACCCCCCCCCTTTTGAGAACAATGCCGTTGTCCTCTCGAGGGCGCGTGGTCAAACAGAATGGCAAGCAAATAATCACCCCTCCCCAATGACTGCTGCCGGAACTCGCAGCACTACCACAGGGACGGCTCGAGCAGCCGTTACCTGGCGGACGTCCGGTGCCCTCTCCTGTGCATCAACGCCGAGGATGACCCCATCTGCCAGACCGCCTTGTTCCCTTTGGAAGAGGCAAGGCGAAACCCTTGGGTGATGTTCGTCATCACCAAGGCCGGCGGGCACATCGGCTTCGGAGAGGGTTTCAACCCCTGGGGAAGGCGAGTGCCATGACTTCGACGAAAGGTTCAGCCGAATTCTGTTGGGGTGGTGTCAAAAGTGGGCTTCATTAGGGCTGTGTAGCTCCCCTTGTTCTCGTCAATTCATACACCAAGAAGCAACTTGGTGAATTCGATCGTTGAGGGCTCCCAAGAGTGCCCTTTTTTTTTTTTTCGGGTATCGTCGTTGCGAAGAGCCGCAGCAGGGTTTTTTGTAGGGCATTTTTTTCCCACCAAGTTCGGCGTCTTCATTACAAGATCTCGGTCTGGGAGTGAAATGTGACAAAGACGAGAGGATGGAAGCGTTTTTTCTCGCCGTGTTTTTTTTTTTTTTTTTGCTCTATGAGCATTGTTTGACCAGCGTGCATGAACTATGTACCCCAGACAAAATACGTCACCACGGCGACATCGTCGAAAACGAAAATGGCAGGCAAAGCTGGGCGGACAGGTTAATCACTCGGTATTTCCATGCCCTGATGGCGGAGCGGGCGAGGTGCGACGAGGAGGCGACCGCCGCCGCCTCCACCAGCAGCGGCACGGTTCCGGTTCCAGCCGGCAGCGATCGGGCCGAGGGCACACGGGAAATCGCGAGAAGACCACTGCCCCCGGCGGCGGTGGCGGCCTCGGCACGACTTTAAGGCCTGCTGCCAGGGGCCGGCGTGCGTATGACACTCTCACGGTGGTGGGAAGTCGGCGGCTCAAACGGAGACCTTTTGTGTTTCCCCCCTGTTTTCACGCCCGTTGACGGAATCGGGCGTTGAGATGCGTCGTATTTTCGGCTTGGTTAAGTCCAACGGTTGAAGGCGCGTAGCATGGAATTTTGGCTGGAAGGGCGACTCGGGAGGCAGTAGCACCCTCTGGGACAAGAGCTCCAAGTTGATGTCTCCCCGTCACCTTGCTGGTTTCTTCTTTCTTCTGTGCCTGTGAAAAACATCCCACTGTCAGCGATACCGTGGTGCGTGTTTTGTCGAGACGGCGGCTCAAGAGCAAGCAGTCGGTGGGTGTTCGAGGTCGAACGAAGTGTGCATCAGCTCTGTTGCTCCCTCCGTGTCCACCACGTTAGATGGAGCGATTGATTGGTTGCGCTATTATAGTGTTGAGGAATGAACGCATCGGAGAAGTTTTTCCCCAAAGCCTGATGGATAAGCCGGTGTCTTCGTTATTGTCGTCGTGACCGGGCGATGATTGTCTTGCTCTGTGTGCCGTCGAAAATGCCACGACCGAAGGAAGGCGGTGTGAGGTGTCTGTCTGCTGCGCGCGCGCGTGTCTCGACTTTCGTGCGATAGTATCCGATCGGTTCCTTGGCTTCGTCTATAGGACGCGCTGTGTGGTACAAGTACAAGTTTTATGACGTGGTGGAAGCTCGCAACTGCGCGTCATTGAAATCGAAATCGACCGGGTGGTGGAAGGGAGCGGAGGAGGGGTTATTTCCTCGAAGGCCCTGTTTTCGTCGGTTGTTTTATTTCGCCCTTCGGCGGACTAGATGACCAAACTCCCATCGATCGTGGATTTTCCTCCCGTCAGTGATGCAAGTGTACCGCGTATCAAGCCCGTTGCCAATTGTCGATCGTCGCACTCCTCCCAGCGATGTTGCACTGCTGCATCGAGGAAGGTGTGCGGACGCATGATTCACTCCTTGCTTCTGTCGTAGATAGCAGGAGAACGGGGCATGTTTGGTTTTCGTTACAATGCCGGGGAAGCGTGGTGACGCATGGTTCACTCCTTGCTTCTGTTGCAGACCAGCAGGAGAACGGGGCATGTTTGTTTTCGTCGGTGCCCGCTTCGGATGTCGGCGGGAAGTATCGACTTTCTCAGGAATGTTCCTGTTTTTTTTTTAATATATTCGTGAGGACTCGCCTCGTAAGAGCAGCAGGAGTCTCGTAGAACAAGCCGAGGTTGACGCGAAAGCTCGACGTCGTTGAGACCCATGCGTCGGTAGTCAAGGTGTGTGTGTGTTTACAAGAATTAAGCAGGTATCGCGACCCTGCAGTTTGTTATTCAACCATTTCGATTTTGATGTGTCGAAGGCAGCGCTCTATAGATGCTGGAGTCCGTAGGTGCAATTGTGACCAATCGATGTTCTTGGTCCATGGAGAAGCCCTAGTAGCTCTCGGATACATGAGTGACTGTAACAGACTAAACATTTTCGAGAAGATAAAAAAATCAGTTGGATGACTGTTCCACGCATTTCTTCGGCAGTGGGTACTTCATGCAGCCGTTTTTTTTTCTTGTGTGAAAAATTCCGCGAGCGTCATGGTTCAAGGTTGGCTGGGCGGGGGCTATAGTCTAGTCTATTCCCACACGTCTCGACGCCATTGCCGATTCAACTTGGCGAGTTTGCAGCGCAGGGTTGCAACCGGGATGAGCTCAGAGCGGCTTCGCATGCCTTTCGACCGTGGGAATGCTCGCTGCAACTCTTGTTCCACAAATAGTGGGTGTTGCTCCGACGGTGTGAGTATATCAATTGAAGCGCAGATATTACTGAGAGCTGAGAGCGTTTTCAAGCGTCCATGACGATTGTACATATCTTGGATCGTCATCGATTTATTAAATAAAGGAATTTCAGGCGTCACATGCCACAGCTGCTCGTTGTTGTGTGATCCGTTCACGACACTCGACCGCTTCACTAGTACCCCGCTTGCTGCGGAGCTACAAGAACCCCGTCCTTAGATACAACGGAGATTGAAGGCTCTGCAGCGTGTGGACGAGAACAGGCAGGCGAGGGAGCAGAGACGCATAAAAAAAACGGGAGAAAAAATCGGGTGGAGCTGGGACTGGAACTCTTGATCCGTGGTATTGCAGGATCTATCAAAGAGGGTCATCTTATCCGTGTCTTCCAGATGTGCTTTCCAAAATCTCGACAAATCCAGTGAGAAGCGAGCGTGAGATTATCACAAGCACCCCCAGAGAGCGGCATATGATGACGGCCACACCGAGAAAGCTGCAGAAATTTCTCCTTGATGTCGGCAAAAACGTCGGAAATCCCCGTCCGGGACCAAATCAAGCTGGAAAAACGAAATATTTTTGGAAGCAACGTGGGTTGCCCGTGATTTGGTTGCAGTAATCGAGGAAATCCGCGGGGGGGTTAGGCGTCTTGGAAGTCGTCGACACACTCCCCGCCACCGTTCAGTCAAACGAGCGCAAAAAAAAACAACAGTCCGGCGGGGGTCCTCTCTCGCCCTTCACTGCCGCAGAAAAAAAACTATTGTACAGCACCACCGCTGACCTGCTTATTTTTCGACCGCCGCCAAATAATTAAAGTCCGGTCACTCGTCAAGCCACCTAACCCACACCAAAGGAACCGCCACCGCACTATTTACCGCAAAACAAATCACTGGTTCCGGTGATCCTCGAGGAAGGATACCTGTCACAACTACTCCGATTCCGCGTCATCCCCCACGGAAGGGGGGGAGGAAGACCACTTCAAAATCATTCACCATCCGCGCAGCAAAAGCAACAGCAACAGCAACAGCAACAGGAGAAGCACAAAAAAAAAGGGACCCCCCCGAAATACCCCTGCCACGCCCCCGGATGGTGCAGCACTGGAATAACGATACCAAAACGCCGCCGCGAAGCCATCATCACTCTACGTGGCCAATCCTCGAAGCAGCAGCAGCAGCAGCAGCAGGAGCGCCGGAAGGGAACACCGCCGCGGCCACCCCGAGCCACAGCCGGAAGGACTCCTGGTCGTCGCAGAGCAGAACCTCCTCCCCGCCCTCGCGGGTTTCTATCACCAGCCCGCGTTCCTGCTTCTTGCTGCTGCTGCTGTTGCTGCCATCCGCCGCAGGCGCCGCCGCTCTCAGCCCGAGCAGCGTCTTCCTCTTCCCGGCTATCTCTGCCACCCACAGGGCGCCGCCGGCTTCCCTGCTGTCGCTAATCTCCACCCGGTCGGCGATGGCGGCCGACGACCGTGCCTGCGTGGCGTACTCGCGGAAAACCCGTACGTTGACGGCGGTGTTAGCCGACATGAGGATGCGCTGGCGGCGGAGGGGCCCTCCCTGCCTCGCGAAGCGGAGGGCGTCCGCTCTGGGGATGTCGAGCTCGCCCTCGTGCTTCGCCTGCCGGCCGAAATCAGTTTGATGGGGGGGGGGGGTGTACTCATAGTCGTGCATGCCGTAGTCGTTAGACCATTGACCTCGCATCCCTACAAAGCCGGGACGGAGCACGCCGGGTTCTCACCGGACCAGGCTCTCACATCACCAAGCGCGAAGTGCCGTGAGGTATTCGGCGAGTCGCATGAAGGGTGAGCTGCATCCTGCTAAGGGTGTTCGGCATCTTGTGCTTACTTCCTTGCGTACGGATGACAGCTGCGTATGCCTTAATTTGTTTTCTGGTGCTTTCACTTCCAGAGACAGTTGTAAGCACTATGTAACTGCCTCGAAGATGCTTGACTATTTTAACACAACGTGGTGCGATCATCCCCCTTGCGCGGAGTGAGGGTTCTCCACCCCGCACAACATGATCTACTCGACCACCATTGGGGGGGGTCATATTACTTGCTAGCCATGGTCATTTCAGCATTGGTTGCGCATCCCTTGTGAGATGTAGAGGCTGCTTCTCAAAGAGACATCACTAGCAGCAACTTGAGGAGGGTTGGGGGGGACTGTTTACTGCAAGGAGAGGGGGGACGAAGGGGGTAGAGCGAGGGCTTTCGAAGGAGATCGGTTGTCGGTTCAGCCATGTTTTTAGCATGTCTCCCGAACACTATCAAATGCGAAACAGAGCAACAAAGGTATCATCTCACTCCATGACTACTTTAGGAAACGAAAGTACGCGGCCCTGGACATAAACAATATATGTCACGTGCACAATTACAGTCAATAGACACCCGTACCTTCATCAGCATCCTAGAGACATTTTTTCAATAGACTGCTCTTCCACTTCTGTCCGTGCCCACCAAGCAACAGGCGGCGAGACACTCGTCCCCACCACAAGCAAGAACGAGGCCAGAAGTAAAACAAAAAATCAAGGAGTAACGAAAATGATCCTCCTCAGACCACAACACCACGCGGATAACGTACGGAGCCCGCCCCATACACCAACATGTACAACAAACACCTTGACCACACGGGATGAACAGCCCAAAACAAAATGTGCGAATGGACGTGGTAGGTAGGAGCGCTTTCAACATCAAAATTAGTGTACCCTCCTTGCAGCAGGGCGTACACCACGTACAGAACCTCTAAAGCCAGATAGTTGTACGTGCAACTTCTCTCGAGACGGGCCAACACCTTGGACAAGTACGCGAGGAGGGCTTGCTTCAAACTACTCGCACACATCCTCACAAAACAAAGAGCACCCGACACCCATAGCTGGAGCACCAGGAGTATGCCCTGTCCTGGCCCGCCATGATTGACAGAACCTCCTCCGAAGCTGTGGGAATCCACCCGCCGAAAAGGGATTACTATCAATTCATTTTCACCTGGAACGCCCCTATCCCGGCCGAGCATGGTGCTCTAAGCTTGGCGCTAGCGCTAGCGAGGGCCCCTTCTAGCTCGCCAGGAGTCAGCAAAGCTCTCAGCTCGACTTGGTGTTGCTCCAACGCAGCCGCCTTTTGTTTTGTATCGTTTTTCACCACGAAAGAGTGACAGCGAAACGCAGAAAGCCGGAGAGAAAATCATCGACATCAGAAATATTCACTCCGCACGGGGAGAGAGAGAAACACGCGAAATTACATAAGCGGTTCGTTGATCGTCGACAACACACATGCATCCCTTCCGAGTCGGCAGAGCACCCTCCTTCGGTTTGTTCGCATCAATAAAACCACGACAGACAGTTGGAGGGGGTCTCGTAGGTTTCAATGCATTCAGGCGTTGCTCAAGCCCAAAAAAACGGCCACCACGACGTGAACACCAACACACTCGCAGCCAATAGAGCTTTAGACACGGGTCGGTGATTCTTCAGCAGAACCAAAAAACACGAAAAGGGGTCGAGAAAGGCACCAGGCGGGAACAGCAGTATCGGGAACGAGCTTGGGCAAAGGACTGAACCGCTGCATACAACGTGTTAATGATTTCAACACTTTGTTAATCCAGCACATAAAAAAAAAAGAAAGAATATCCCTTCTTTTTCTCCTGCCCTACCCCCCCCTCGGTGTTTGCCATCGGGATTGGGCATTCGTCGCTTGGCAACGACGATGTAAAACAAGCCATTCACTTTTTGAACTCGGCAAGCAGGATACTGATTTTGTTTTTTACCTCTGGTTTTTTTTTGGCGGCAACCATGAATGGTGGTCGAGTAGATCATGTTGTGCGGGGTAGAGAACCCTCACTCCGCGCAAGGGGGATGATCGCACCACGTTGTGTTAAAATGGTCAAGCATCCTCGAGGCAGTTACATAGTGCTTACAACTGTCTCTGGAAGTGAAAGCACCAGAAAACAAATTAAGTCATACGCAGCTGTCATCCGTACGCAAGGAAGTAAGCACAAGATGCCGAACACCCTTAGCAGGATGCAGCGCACCCTTCATGCGACTCGCCGAATACCTCGCGGCGCTTCGCGCTTGGTGATGTGAGAACCTGGTCCGGTGAGAACCCGGCGTGCTCCGTCCCGGCTTTGTAGGGATGCGAGGTCAATGGTCTAACGACTACGGCATGCACGACTATGAGTACACCCCCCCCTCCCCCCCCTTTCGTGGCGATCACCGCGCAAGTCTGGGACTCCGAGTACAGGGGGAAGGCAAGCCATAGGGCGACAGCGACAAATCACAAGTAACACGCCGCTGCCACGGAATACAATATCGCCAAAAACAATTCGACAGGAGACGATTTGGCATCTAGCTACCCCAGGCTAACCACCGCCTTTGGGACGGTCCAATGACAGACAGAAAAAAAGGAGAAACAAAACTAGAAACCGCGGGGGGAGAGGGCCTATACATCATCTTGTCCTTTCAGGACTTCTATCTCTTCCCAGCCAATGAACTGACAGAAATCGGCTCAGCACACGTACCCGATTTTGAAGGATGTTGAGCTGTGAGCGGAGAGTCTGGGCGAGGGGCACCGCGGAATCGCCCGAGAGGGCGGCCAGGCTCTTCGAGTACACCGCCGAGCAGAAAATCTTTGAGAGCAAGTCGATCCTGGCGAAACAGCGTGAAGCACGAACGCCACAACAACAGACAGCAACACGCAGAAAGCGCGTCATGGACAACGGTAACGGCAAGACCAACGGCATGAGCAGCAACAAACAACAACTGTTACAAGGGTTAGGGTTAGCCAATCCAATCGACTTGTACTGCGTAGGAAGGAGGAATGCGATGGACCACAACAAGCCATCCATGGACGATCTGTCTACTTCAGCCCCTCCCCTGTCCCCCGCTCCGCTGCGCCCACACCACTCAACGGGACAAAAAAAGCAACAACTCCCTCGGCGCACTGCTGTGGCAGAAAACATGCACAGCGAAAGATGGCGACGTCTTCAATGAGCGCTAGGAAACGGCGGTGCTAGTGTTTCCCAAGGGGCCGTACATCCGCAGGCTAAAAGAACAGCCAAGGCCAGCAACAAATAGATGAGGAAGGCCCTCCCAATATCACCGAACCCGCTCATCTTACCCTCCTCCTCTTCTCCTTGTTCTGGTGTCTTGGGGTGATTCGGCGTCGAAGGGTTCTTCCTCTCCGACCATGGCGTCGTTCTGCCTCAAAGCAGCAAGGTATCCCGCCCTCTCCTCGCCAAACAGGGTGTCCTATGCATAGTGAACAACAACGTGGTGGTAGTGAGCGATGTGTGGTGCAAACAAGTTATGGAGTCAGATGAATAAGACCAAACGAATGAGAAAACTGAGGCAGCAGAGCGACAGACTTACACAGAAGGGGGGGAGAGTGAACGAGACCGACCGACAGACAGACAGACAGACAGACAGACGGACGGACGGACGGACAGAGAGACAGAGAGACAAAGAGACAGACAGACAGACAGACAGGCAGACAGACAGACAGAAATAGAGGTACTGAGACAGAGACACAGACTCATATACTCGGAAAGCACGCAACATTCAAGGGAGAACAAAGAGAAGAAACGAGAGGAGTGAAGTCGCTCCCGAAAACCTCCCAGAATAGAACTGGTTGTCGGTGATGTTGTCTTAAGGCATCTCGTACCGCTCCGATCTCCAACCAACACCTCCGCTGCCGCATTCTTCCAAGGTAAGCAATCGACCCTCCCCGGCAAAAAAATTACCAGATGGAAGGCATTCACAAAAACACGCCCAAAATACACCAGCAACAAGAAAGTGCACTCTTCTTCGCTCTTCTGAATCAAGCGGTAGAGCAGCGGCAACCATCCTGATGCCTGAGTCAGCTAGAAAAGACTGCCACGCAGTGACTGGCGGATAGATGGCATGCAACACTCAACGTTACTGTTTCAGTAGGGAACGCATATAGAAGAGCAAACACAGCAAATGCACAGGCTGGTCAACGTGCGTTCGCCAACTCAAGACAGGAAGCTCTCCCCAAAACGTATGCGAATACTGATAACACTGGCGGTGCTGACATTCCCGGCTCGGCCAACGAAGCCTCACGAATCAAAAGAATGCCAAAAAAGGAAACCCTTTCGCGTCAAGATGGAAAAACACTTTCTCAACTCACTTACACGGCAAATCGTACTTGCTACTACGTGCGGCGACCGAAGCTAAGTATCGCTCTACGCGAACATAGACGTGAACACATCACCACACACCTGGAGCCTGACGACTCTCTCCAGCGCGTCTGACAGCGGAGTCGTGCTTGACCCGGACCCAGGTCCATGAAGCGATAACGCCACCTCTGTCCGCTCCCACCCACCCCCGCCGCCGCCGCCGCCGCCGCCGCCGCGGTTTCCTCTGCCGGCCCCCGCTAAAAACATAGCAAGAGACACCAACAAGAACAGCAACGACAACATAAGGGGCGCTGTTACATTGACTTTGTCTCTTGGCCAAGGTGTGGCTGTATTCCCTGTGTCCAATGAGATGTGACAGTTTTGTGCTACAATTGTAGCACCGCACCGGATGGAACGCTTGTAAAAACAAGCAAGAGTAGATAAGCCCGGACATGCCCACCTAAAACCTCTTGACAAGAGACCGCCCTGCTAGACATACCCCCAATCGACACGCCATCCGAGATGTGGTAATGCAAACAGAACCTTGTCCCACCAGGTACACCCCCGACAGACAGATATGCCTCCATCGAGCACACCCCCTGCAAAAATCACTGCCGCATCGCTTTCCGCTCGCGCTTTTGCCCCCCCCCCAACGTTGCAGCAACCAACATGGACCTCGATTACATAAACGAACAAAGTCATTCTTGCACTCCTTCAAGCTTGCTGCGAACCCAATGGCCGGCAAAGCCGGCTGGTCCAATAAACCGAACAGGCCAGCAAGATGCAGTACATCCAGCGCCAACTCTCCACTGGTGTCCTCACCTCCTGCCGCCGCGTCTACATCCATGGGCTCGGAGGTATCCCTGGCCTGGAATGCTGTCACCTCGATTGTGCCAACCTGATGCGAGAGTGTTTTGGGAGAGGCGGTAGTCAAGGGCGAAGGAAAGGTTTTGGACAAAAAAAGTGAAAACAACGTACTTCGAAGTACATATTGTTGAAAACAACATAATTGAACAACCTTCGCACAAGACATAAATTGTTCGTCCCTAACAGAGCCGGATCAAACTAGGATGTTCTCCCCGGGCTAAGCGTGAAAGGGGCACTTCGTGGGGCGCAAGCACAGCACAAGTCAGTTATTTCGGGGAAACGTAAGAACCAAATGTCAGTATAGTATCCCCAACATACAGGTGCATGAGACGGCAGTGACATGCCGAAAGAGTAAGGGAGAAGTAGAGGTAGACAGACAGACAGACAGACAGACAGACAGACAGACAGACAGACAGAGAGTAGGGCAAGGCCGCCAAAGAGAAGCACCGACCAAGAGAGCAAAGCGAAACAAACCGACGGAAAAGAGAGCTTGACGAACACGAAGAGTGCGACCGGTCGGTGGCAGCAGTCAGCCTGATCCCTTCCGTACCCCGTGCCACATTCAGTACCCGAACCGACAACAAGCCTACCTTGCTGTGCTTGTCCTCGCTGAAGACGGAAAATATCAGCCCTATGAATCGCCTGTCCATCGACTGATACTGCCCCTGAGTCCGCACATCTGAAGGGGTACCCGCCCCCCCAGGAGCAACAGAAGCAGCAGCAGCCACGGCAGCAGCATCAGTATCAAACAACACGCCGGGAGCGAACAAGAAGGCGTGAGCGGCGGCGGGGGGGGGGGAGATAGAAGACGAACAAGCGGCGGGGATGTTTGATATCGTGTACTTGTAAGTGATGTCGTGCAGTGCGTGCAAGAACCAACATCGGGGATCGGGGACCTAGCACCTTCGTTGTTCCAATAACCCAACACGCGGCGACAGCGGCGGCGGTGGCGGTGGCAGCAGCAGCAGAAGCAGCTGCAGCAGCAGCAGCAGCAGCAGCAGCGCCACAAACCAACAGGCCGACAGACAAAACCTTGCAACGTCTAATATTGTTGTCTCACCCACGTGGGACGGTAGGACCGTGATGTGGGGATGGCTGTGGTACCACCCTACCACCCGTGTATCTTGCCCCAGCTGCGCCGACATTTTCTGCGGACCAAGGCGAGGACGGCGGCGGCGGCGGCGGCGGGGGGGGGGGGTCATGCGATGCTCAGCATCCATCTTCTGGATGGGGGGCGGGGGAGGTACTCACGGCTACTAAAAAAAAACGGACGGAACAAGCCGTTCAGGAAAAAGGGAACGAAGCACAAAGGCATTGCATTTTTTTTTTTAAGAACAGCAACACGATGGCAAATAGACCACAGCAAACAATTTTGGCACATTCTCGCGAAACTAGCTCGCATTGCCCTCTGCTGCACACGAAAACGACCGTGCGTGAAGGCCTTCGTAGGTTACAATAGTTCGGTACCACCGACTGATAGCGTGGCGCACGATCGTACTCCTCACCTTCAGTCTAAAAACCCCTCGGGCGCGCAATCTCGCGTGGACTGTTCGGCGAAACGGACAGGAACTACACTGTACTAAAGCACGAGCTCGGGGAGAACGCCGTCTGTCTGACCTTCTAGTCTACCTCTCGAGTGCGCGCTGCGACTGAAGAACACACCTCGGCGATGTCGGCGGCTTCTGCCAGCTGCTTGTATCCCACTTCGACGCGGTCCTCCCGCTTGTCCGTCCTGAGACCAAGAGAAAAAACAAAATTACCGGACGTGCATGCAAGCGGCGCTATCAGGCAAAGATGACCCGAAAAGGTCGGTAGAAAACTGGCGTTCCAGTCGAGCAGGCAAGTGGAGAAAACCGGACAGAAAAAACAAGTGGAGAAAACCGGAAAAAACAGGAGGGGCAATCCGAAAATCCGTGACCCAAGGGGACCCCAGCATAAGGCCGTCTCGCTCATCGTGGCTTTGTCTTTTTCGTTTTTTGTTCTTTGGGCGGCCAGCTTAAGCGCATCGAGCGAACAAGCAAGCCAGTTGAAAATCCTCACACGTCATGCTACCTGTGGAACCTTCACCGGAAACAATACACGTAAAGCGATCGTTGAAAACTATTTCGACGAATCAGCGCCATAAAAACACGCCAAATTCTCACGAATCAAACTTATCACGGGCTGCACAATGCTTGCCGTTGTGAACATGGTAAGCAAGGCGCCATCTGGGCGAAGGAAGTACAGCAGTTCAACCAAACCTACCCCCCCTCGAAAGCAGGATGTTCTCCAACTCTTCTTCTATAACAGCAGGAGGTAGTCCGGCCGGGGAGAAACACAGTCATAATCACATCAAGCGCAATTCAACACAAGAGGCTGCCAAACCAGTTTCGAAGCAGCAAACGTGTGCACACCTCTCGGTGTACTCGTCCTCCCAATTCTGCAACGGGTAAGGACATGACCAGACCGCCACGCCACAGACAGAGCAGCAAAAACCAAATCCCGAAGCAAGGCGACTTGGTGGTGCGGCCGTGCTTTTGTTTTCCTCCTCTTCCTCCTTCTCACCGTGTGAGGATCATCGCGTGATCCACTGTTACCGCCGGGCAGCTGGTCCCATCCCTCCCGGTCCCATCGTGCCACCTCCCGAGTAGCAACCCCATTACCTGTAGGTGGGCGCGGCGGCCAGAGAAAATTGTTTTTGCACCAGCTGGCATCAGCAGATCCTTCAACGCGTAGGCTACGACAGACGCGAGATAAGCCCGGTACCCAGCAGGTTGTCTGGCCCAGTTGCGGCAAAGACTTTCGACCTTCAACACGCCCCATTCGATTATTTAAATAACTGCTGTGGCATTTTCTCGAACGACTACCGAAGTCTTTCAGTGGTTGTACAGTGTATTTTCTACAAAAAAACAACCAAATCAACATGGTACGGGTGTCATACCCACGGGGATGGAGGGATCAGCGATTGACAAGGTCACAAGGGAACGACGCGTGATTGTCTGATCTGTACTGCGCTGCTGCCCAGTAAATCCGCGTGGAGCTATGTAGCATAGAATACAGCAAATCTACAGAATAATTTCATCGCAAATTGCAAAGCTTGTTTCACTCCAACGATAGAGAATGGAGCTCCAGCTTTCTACAGATCAGGTTTACGAGGTTTAACACTAGACTAGACCATCGGGGTCTCGTTACCCAGGTGTTCCAGCCTGTGGTTGTTCTTAGGTCTCCCAAATCGGGTTGTGGTGTCTGTGTCGGATAAAGCCAGCATGTGATACAAATTCCACGTCGAACTCAGCAAATTTCGTGGGTTGCAAGAGAAGCAAAACATAAAATAAGGACACAAATGTCTCTGCTGGCAAGGCATCGAGGAGAGTCAACACGATTTCGGTTTCGAAACGCGGATGACTTCATGCCCACGCTCTTTCCTTACTCTCACTTCAATTCTCACCTGAGTGTGCGGACGCTGCTGAAGCAATACCGCATCATTAAGGAATAATATAAACACACACAGAAAGACTGCCCATTCGAGATATACCCACAGTCGAACGGGATGTGGTGGAGTCTTTTCAGTGAGTGAAGGGAAACCGGCTGGGTATTGGACTTATTTCGCATCATGCAGCACGCGCGTATTCTGCCGCACGGAAGCCTACAGCGCAACCACGGCTTTATAACTATCTACTGACGGCGGGTTTTCTTCACCCGGGCTTCCCCAAAACTGCTGCGGCAAGGTTTCTCTCTATTTTACTCGCCCGTAACTACTTATGGTACTACTACTACACTGGAGTACCACCACTCCACCACAACTGTTGCAACAGTTGATCTCATACTGCAGCAGTATACCACTCTTGACATACTTTCTGTCGACAGCGGAGGAATCCCGCCGCAGCTGCAATAAGGCAATTGAACCCACCTCCTGTTTCTCCGTCGACATGGCATGGCTGGCACACGTGGTGAAGGCTTGCCAGCTCAGGGTGCACCGTTGTAACGACATTGTTCCTCTCCAACCGGCGCTCGGCGGCGGCACGTGGACGTGCTGCTGTGTGTCTGTGTGTGAGCTTTGAGACGCTGCTTTGAGGGGCCACGCAGACAGAACTTCACCCATACCGCCCATGCCGCGCCCCAACCGAACCCAAACCAAGCACAAGGGATTATCCCGCCGTTGATCCCGCCGCTAAATCGCATATCTATTCCATTCGGAATCTGGTCACCGCCCCACAGCGGTCTACACTCCATTCGCACCATCTTCCATCCCTTCGCAACAGCAGAACAACTGGTGTATTTCCCCTCTGCTCCTTTTCAACGTCACGTGTAGTTTGGTGAGTCGAGATTGTCTGTCGTTGTGCGTGCGTACCACTGCTGTACTGCGAAGGCAAACCACGACTTGAAAAGAGTGTTGATGCGTGCTTCCGTTGCTCTCACGCGAGCTGGCAATCGTCCTCTATATACCTTTGTCTACGAGCATGTCGCTCAAGTGCGCTACCTTTACACGTTGCTGCCAATCAAGGTGATGTCGCGGGTCTGGCGGCTGTACAGGTCGGCGGCGTTTTTTCGGCCGTGCTTGTGTAGATACCCTTGGCCGTATGATGGAGGCCGGAAAGAGCCCCCTGGGAAAAAATGCATATTTGTACCACAAGAGATCCAACATGTTTGCTGCTGACTGCTGCTGCTACTGCGTTCGCCTTTTGTTTCCGAGATACTGTAGATGTTTCATGTGGTTGAGGGTTCAACCTTGACAAGAAGGTTGCGGAAAAAGAAAAAAATGAGCTGGAGCCCTCTTTTTTTTATCGCGCCAACGGCGAACATGTATGTTAGGTAAACTACGCGGGGTGCAGCAAGCACGTTCTGGACGTTACTTGGGGCACTGGGTAGTCGGCCGTGTTAGGCCGAGAGAGAGAGATTGAGAGAGAGTTGGAGAGAGGGTGGGAGAAGGAAACTTGATTGGAGAGAGACGGTGGTGGTGGTGGAGAGAGAGAGGAAGAAGTGAGCGCAGCACGCACGCAAGCTTCATCGCACCAACCACGCCAAAAGGGTCCCCGTGACCGCACCGATGGTACCCTGCAACACATGAAATTCCCAAGACGTATCCCCCTGGGATCCTCGATCCTCACGACCAGATACTGCTGCGAGTATATCTAACATCCCCCCTGCTCGCAACAGTTACTCACTGAAAACTTCGCGAACACTCGATATCTCAACCAAAATACATCTCTCCAAGAACATATGCCATCAATACTCGACCAGAATAACATAAGAGGGAAAAACAATTCAAAGGAACATGAATACTGCATCGCGCGTAACAAATACTTGGCGCGAGAAATGAAAGAAAACGGGAAACAAAACGAGAAACAAAACAAAACCAAAACACAACCAATCAGAAAAACAATAAAATGTTCATGCCAAATTCATTGCAAAATCACGGTGAGACTCGAAAACGTCCTTCGGCAAGCTCTTCGTGAGAAAATCTGCACGCTGGTACGGAGACGGCACGTGGATCACCGAAATTTCCTTCCTCTCTACCAGTTCCCTGAGGAAATGGTGCCTTACATCTATGTGCTTCGAGTTCGAGTTTGAGATGGGGTTCTGCGCTAGTTGAATCACCCCCTGGTTGTCCTCGAAGACGGGGATACACGGCATGCCGACCTGCGGCAACATGAAACGCCAAATCTGCCTCAAAAACAAAATCTCCTTCACTGTGTCACCAAGCGCGACGTACTCTGCTTCTGTCGTCGAAAGCGTGACGCACTTTTGCGTTCTGGAAAACCAAGACACAGCGCCTCCTCCACACGTCACGATTCCCCCTGATACCGACCTACGGTCTGCTGCCTTGCTTGCAAAGTCCGCATCAGCGTACCCCTGCAAGCTGAACCCTTACAATCGGTCCTGCACACATCTAGATCCTGTACCCCTCTGAAACGAAATACCAAAGTGACTCGTCCTCCTCGCATAGCCTAAAATATCCATCGCTGCATTCCAGTGTACCAGCTTCGGAGATGCGCAATACCTAGCTACTGCCCTTACAGCATTCGCAATGTCTGGCCTAGTTTGAGTCGCCAGCCACATCAACGATCCTACCAGCTCACGAAACGAAAAGTCTGTCGCCACCTCATCCGCATCAAAATCAGAAAGCTTCACCCCCGAAGACATCGGAACGCTCTTACCTCCCACTACTCCATATTCTGCTGCTAGCTCGTCCGTGAAAGTCTGCTGAGAAATCGTCAACCTTCCGGTCTCCTTGTTCCTCTCGTAAAAGCACCCAGAATACCATCTCAACTCTCCCAGGTTCTTCACTGGCGCGGACTTGTTAAGGTCGGCGCCAAACTTGTCACATCTCTCCCTCTCTCCGACAGCAAAAATGTCATCTACATGTACTACCAAAACCAAAACAACACATCCATCCTCAATCAAACGAAACACACAAGCATCGGCCATGCACTGCTCAAAACCTAACGCCACTAAACACCTCTTCAGCATAGCATGCCACTGCCTAGATGCCTGTCTCAAGCCATACAGACTCTTGCCTAGTTTTACAATCATTCCAGATAGAGCTCCACATCCCTGTGGCAAACGCATGTACACGTCTTCCTCCAACTCCGAGCGCACAAAAGCTTGCTCAATATCGAAATGACACAAGTCGAGATTCAACTCGCACGCCAACGCAGCCAACATCCTAACACACGAAACAGAAACGGTAGGCGCGTACAGCTCTCCAAAGTCAATGTACTCTCTCTGCATATCACCTCTCGCTACAAGTCTCGACTTCACCTTAGTGGGCCATCCAAATTCATCTGCCTTCCAATCGAATACCCACTTAGCGTTAATTGCGTTCTCCACTAGTTGCTACTTCGCCGGAGTAAAAGTCCCTGCTTCCAACAAGCCGTAAAACTCCCTTTGCATAGAGTCGCTCCAAAGGTGCCGGTGCTCCGACGCCATGGCCTCTTTGTAGCTCTTGGGGACACGAAGGTCGCTGGCCTGGCAGTGAGGAAGGTCAGGGCGTTGCTCCGGCGGGCGCTGGTCTCGCAGCGTGGCGTCGATGTCTTCCCGGTTGGCGAGGAGCGTGGCAAATGCGAGTGGAAAGCCCGCTCCTCCAGCCCCCGGGTCCACCGCTGCGAGTGCTCCCGCCTGTTCTCCGGCCCCCGCTCCCCCCGGCTCTCCGGCCTCCGCCCCCCCCAGCTCCCTGCGCTCCTCATCCACCGCGCTCCGAGCCTCCAGCATCGACACCAGAGTGTTCTTGTCTAGCATCGAGATGAGTCCTGTGCTGTGCCTCGTGCCCGATCTCGTTCGGCTTGGCAGCCGCGGGTCTATCATACCCTCGGTCTTTGTACCCGGGCGAAGCTGCCGCATGGCGTGAGCCGTAAGCGGGGGCATCGCGGGGTCCGGCGGCGGCCGCTGGTCTGGATCGAGGGTCGCCAACGGTGATGGCGAAGAGGCAGAAGACGGCTGGCCAGGGGCGGGGGTCGCCGACGGTGGCGGCGAAGTGGCAGAGGGCGGCTGTGAAGGCGTGGGAGCGGACGACGGCGTGGTCGCTGGCGGCGGCGTTGCGGCAGGTGGCGTTGCGGCAGTCGAAGGCGTCGGTGCTGGGCCAAAGTTGATCGAGACGACCGGCGGCGTGAACGGGGGGGGTGTCGGTGCAGCGGTGATACGAGCGGAACCCCCCTCGCCGGCTGGCGCCGACGTCACCCACGACACGTTGTTGGTGTAGACGACGCGACCGGTGGACGCCTTGAGGACCTTGACGGTGCCGCTCGGGTGGTTGTCGCCGCCGTTCAGGTAGAAGCAGAGGGTGGCCTGGTCGTCGAGCTTGGTGCGGCGATCCTCGCGCATGAAGCCGGGCTGGAAGAACGGCAGCACGCGGAATGGCCCTTGCTCGCCGGTGAACATCTCGTGCGGCGAGCGCCGCCCGGGGTTGGCCTTGGTCGCCGACTGGTTAAGAGCGTCGGCGGCCCACTTCGCCGATTCCATCCAAAGACGGTCACCGCGCTCGTCGAGGCCGGGGATGGAGGCGAAGTCGACGTTGAACACACGGCCAGCGCTGCGGCGGGCGGCCATGCCGGCCTTCATAATCCGCCAGATGGCGCTCTCGACGACGCCGTTGTACTTCGGAGTGCCAGGCGGGGTGAACTCGACGCCGATGCCGTTGTCGTCGCAGAATTGCCGGAAGTCGCCACGGGTCCACTCGGTGCCGTTGTCGACGCGGAAACACTCGATGCGCCCGAGGTCGTACCGCCCCACGTCCGCCAGCAGCCTTTTCGTTGCCGCCAGCGCGTCGGACTTCCGCCGGAGACCGTAGACCTTGTTCCACCGCGAGGCGCTGTCGACGGCGACGAACAGGTAGAGGTTGCCGCCCAGGGAAGGCACCAGCGGTCCACACAAGTCCAGGTGAACACGCCCGAGTGGCTTGGACGCCCGCGCTCCCGGCCCCCGCGGCACCGACCCTCGCCTGCCCTTCGCCTTCATGCAGTCCGTGCACGGTTCCAGCTTGCCGGTGAGCACGATGCCTCTCTGCTGGGCGGTTTCTCTCAAAAGGGGCTCGCAAGCGTGGGCAAGGGAGCGGTGGAAGCGGTTGATGTCAACGGACTTTTCAGTCGAACCAAGAGCAAACGGGGACGCACCAGGGCCAAGCGCGGCCGCACCGAAGTCAAAATCAGCACCCCCATCAATGCTATCCAAAACAGCAGCTACATTCGCAGCATCAGTCTCAGGGATAAACGCGGGGAAAAACTCTTGATACGGGGTGTCATCATAGCCATCCATGAGCTGCTCGTCGGTGAGCACACTCGTGTCTCCAAGATCCATACCCGGAAAAGTACCTACACAAACAAACTCGGACGCCGAAGAAGGTACTACGCCGGCAGAGCCGGCGGGCGGGACGCTCTCACTCGCAGGTACTACACTGGTGGGACCAGTGGGCATGACGCTATCAGTCGAAGGTACTACGCTAGCAGAGCCAGCGGGCGTGACGCTCTCACTCGAAGGTACTACGCTAGCAGAGCCAGCGGGAGGGAAACGCAACACGGACACCAATGATTCCGCGGAGCCCCCTTTTTGGGAAGGGGAACGCGTGGAGCCAACGGCGGGGGCGGGATCGGGGGCAGTCACGAATGCAGGCAAAGCAGAAGAGTCTACTATAGTTGCAGATGGGTCGTACGGTAAGCGCATGGCATATGCTGCAGACGCTTTTTCCTCCCTAGCAAATAGCAGTCCATTTTGGAGGGTTGCACCACGCTCGTCGTGCAGGATTTGTTGCTTTCGAGAAACTGCATGCGTTGAAAACAAATTGAAGCTCAGGTTCTCTACTACAGACACGTCAGTCAGCTTAACACACATCGTCGTTTTTTCACCGTTCTCATCCTCCTGAAAGAAACTAAGGTTGATGCTACCGATAGCTTGCACTTCTAGCAGTCGACCATCACCTACGACGACATACTTTCTATTTGCGGGGATCTCCTGCAGATCGTACATGTGTAGGCTACTGTTGGTAAAACTGTTGCTTGCACCTGAATCAGCTACCCATCTCTCGCTACCAGGCGGCCCCTCACTAGATTCCACACTCAGCAAAGACGAAGCAGACGCAGCAGACTCAACTCCAATCGTCACTCCTATCCTACCAAAAAAATCTTCCGGGGTGAGACTTGCCTAGGGGCACCGATTGTGCCGTGCAGAGGTGGAGGTAGCCCGAAGATGGAGGCGCGCCAGGAGAAGGGGCAGAGGACGAGGAGGAAGCGGTGCTGCTGCTGCCCGCGGGGGGGGGCTGACGTGGCTGCTCGGATGATGAATCTTGACCGGCGGGAGGGTAGTAGACGTAGTGGATCCCGCCGTCAGATGAACGGCTGTCTTCGTACCCGGAGGAGTAGCTGTAGCTGTCCCCGCCGCCGGCGTAGTGGGCGTACCCGGCGTCGTGGTGGCTGTCGTCGTAGGAGTAGCCTTCGTCGTAGTCGCCGTAATCTTCGTAGTAGCCACCATCATCGTGGGCGTAGTACACAACGTACGCCTGCTCTCTTCCGTGGCCAGAACGCGCGTGCCCCGAGCCTCTCCCTGCCCGATCTCTCTCGGCACGCCCGTCGCTGCTGTGGCGTCCCGCGGGCCCACGACCCCCCGGGTGACGCCCCAGACGACCACCAGGCCCACGTCCACGAAGAGGTCGCGGGGGGGGTGAGGCTTGGCTCCAGCCACCGCCACCATGACCGGTGTGGTGCTGTTGCTCTATCCTCACCCATCGCCCGCCACCGCGGCCGGGTCCCGGCGGCGGTCTACCCCCTCGCTGGCTACCGCCGCCACCGCGGCTGCCGCCGCCCGAGCGACGTTCCTCGGCGCCCTCTCTCGAACGCGCACGCCGCAGTTGCTGCTGGAGACGACACTGCTCGTTGGTGTGAAGCTCGGACTGGTGGTAGCGGCAAAATCCGCCGGGGTCGTCGTTGAACACGTCACTATTTTTCTTCTCTCCGTCACGATTTTGGCCGCCAGCTGCTGCCTGACCGCCGTCTTGACCCCAGGATGCCCCCCCACTGCCCCCGCCGCGCCGGCCCATGCCGGACGCGGCGAGAGCGAGCTCCACCTCGCGCCTCTCCCCCTTGCTCCTCTCGCGCTCCATCTCCACGTGGGCGTCCCTCACCACAGTCTCAAGGGTACGCAACGTCAGGACATCATGGGCAAGCAGTATTCCTTTTTGCACGGCATACAACGAAGAGGGAAGGCCACGAGCAATGTCTTTGTTGGCATCTGTTTCATCCTTAATCGTGCCTACTGATGCGAGACGCAGGCGAAGGGCCTCTGAGCGGGCAATGTAATCCTGTGGACTCTCGGACTCTTTCATCTCCAACTCCTTCCAGTCCTGCTCCAACCTCGACTTTTCTGACTGCTTTTTCTCCTGATAGAACTCGGTCACTATTTTCCAGCCCTTTTGGGGACTCTCACACGCCAGAATCAAGCTCTGAATCGGGGGATACATAACCTTGCTTATGAGGATATTCCACAGTTTGAAAGACTTGTCTACCACTTCATTTCCAAAAAGTCTCCGAAGGTCTCCTACATTCACACCCCTCTTCCCGACCTTGACCTCGACCTCCAGTTCCAACGCATCATGCACACCCTCCTCCTGAAAATATGAAATCATCTTACCACGAAAAATATCAAACATAATGTACAAGTCCTGCTCCTTCTTTACACTACCAAGCCAAGGTTCGATTTCTGAGCCTGGATTGACACGTAACGTGCCTGAGCGGGGCAAAGCCCTGTTGTTGAGCGATGGCCTCAGCTGTCGCCTTGGCCGCTTGCGCCACGATGTGTGCGACGCTGCTGGGGTCGTTGAATGTGGCTGGTGTACCCTGGCTGGAGGGTGATGGTTGGTTGCCAGTAGGTGGGACTGGGTTGCCGGTTGGAGTGGCTGGGTTGCCGGCTGGTGGTTGGGCAATGGTGACTTCACCCTCGTTGATCCTATTGGCTTCGAGTTCGGCTTGCACTCGTTGCTGGACGATCTCCTCCACTTTTTGTTGTAGCTCTTCCCCGCTGAGGGCGGAGAGGTCGATGTCCTCCATGATGTTTGGTGTTGTGGGAGTCTACCGATTGCGCGTGACTGCACAACCCCCGGATGGCTACGCCCGCGCGCAGATACCGTGATATCGCACTAGTGTGTTAGGTAAACTACGCGGGGTGCAGCAAGCACGTTCTGGACGTTACTTGGGGCACTGGGTAGTCGGCCGTGTTAGGCCGAGAGAGAGAGATTGAGAGAGAGTTGGAGAGAGAGTGGGAGAAGGAAACTTGATTGGAGAGAGACGGTGGTGGTGGTGGAGAGAGAGAGGAAGAAGTGAGCGCAGCACGCACGCAAGCTTCATCGCACCAACCACGCCAAAAGGGTCCCCGTGACCGCACCGATGGTACCCTGCAACACACGAAATTCCCAAGACGTATCCCCCTGGGATCCTCACGACCAGATACTGCTGCGAGTATATCTAACAATGTAGACCAGTCTAGAAGTAGACGAGACGGCTTTATCGGTACTTGTCTGACCACGTGTTTTAGAGGAAACAGCGCCGCGTCATGGTATTCTAAGTCTGCTGATTGATGCATGGTTGACAAGGGCGATTCAGGCGTCAGCCGGCGGCCTACCTGCTATATAATACCACTACTTCCTGTATTGCGTGACAATTTTTTCTGCGGCCTCGAGAGCTGAGTACATACCAGTAGGAGCTTCGCTTTCTTTCGCCCGCGCGTGTTTGACAACGTTTGCTTTCTTCGCCCGCTGGGCTCTTTTACGGCGGAGTTTCTGTCGAAAAAGTCGTGCGCTTGTTCCAGCTCAATCGCGCCCCTTCCTTTACGCAACCGCACCCCCAACCTCACAGTCGGTCACAATTATTTCCCTTCCCCCTTCGTCCTACAGGAACCACAAGCAACACAAGCACTACGTCAAGATGGCTCAAAAAGTCGTCGTGATCGGCGGTGGGTACGCCGGGGTCGAAGCCGCGAAGGCCCTCGATGCAAAGTTCGACGTGACCCTCGTGGCCGGTGGGGACGCCTTCCGCCACATCGTGTACGGCTTGCGCGCGTCCGTGCTGCCGGATCAGACTCCGAGAATGCTCGTCCCGTACGCTAACTTCCTGTCGAACGGGACTGTCAAGACGTGCAAGGCCACCAGGATCAACGCCGACGAGTGCACCGTGACCCTCAGCACCGGAGAGTCCTTGCCGTACGACTTCCTTGTCCTCGCTACCGGATTTCTCCACCCCAACACCGGTGAGAACAACAACGACAGCACGCAATAAGAAATGATACTTGTTGTTGGTTCACCTCTTGTTCGCGAATGTTCGAACGGGTCCTACGTATATCGTGTGCGGGTAGAAGATTATTTTCTTCGCGTAAATTGTTTCGGCCGCGGTAAACGCCCTTATTTCCCTCTCGTAGAGGTGTGTCGGGGGCTCCCGTCATCCCACAGCAGACTTCGTGTGAAGCCGTCCATCCAACTCAAATTATTTTCCAAGCTTGCAGATCAACCGCAGATCCCCGCCTTTTTTTTCACTGCGCACCCCCTCCCCTTCCCGTCATCTCTACGACCCCCCCCCCCCCCCCCAGTCGGCGTCGGAAACAACACCGGCACAGTGGCCGAACAGACCGCCGTCTTCAAGCAGGCCAACGCCACGCTCAAGGCGGCCAAGAGCATCCTCGTCATCGGCGGCGGCCCCATCGGCATCGAGATGGCCGGAGAGATAATGGAAGAGATGCCCGGAAAGAGCGTGACCCTCGTTACCTCGAAGGAGCTCATGCCGCTCGCCCACCGTGGCTTTCCCGGCAAAGTTCCGCACCCGCCTGCGGAAGAAGCTCGAGGCGGTACGAAATGTCTCTCTGGATTTTTACACCCCGGCTACTACTCGCAACAGTTTCGTGCTGCACTCAGCATGCATTGCCTAATTTCATTTTTTACGTATGAGCACGCCTGTCCGTCCCCTCCGCCCACGATAGCTTCCCGTCCGTTGACCATGTCTTTTTCCACGCTGTATTTTTTCCTGCCACCCCCCTCCCAAAACCCGCGGAAATGAACCCCAGGTCGGCGTGACCGTGCACACGGACGGCGGGCGCGTGAACTTCAGCAGGGACGACATCGACGCGTGCGGCTTTATCTCCGGGGAAAAGACCTACTCCTGGACAGGCGGCCAGGTCGAGGCCGACCTCTGCATCGTCTGCACGGGAGCGACGCAAGCGGCTCCGATATACGCAGACAGCGGGCTCCACCACTGGCTGGACGAGAGGGGCCAGGTTAAGGTGATTTTTTTCAGGCTACATGTATTCTGACCCTTGGTCGATTGCTGGTACGAAGCTGACGTGAATGGCACAGCAGCCGATGTTGTTCTCTACGAAACTGGTCCATCGAAAGGTACATTAGTACGAGTTTGTTTCTTTCTTTAGATATGATTGATCTGTTCGGCGCGTTGCTGGTGTTCATCTCTCTCTATATATATATATATATTTATCAGGCCCATGTTTTAGCGCCGTGTTTGGTGTTTGGTTCCGTTCCTCGACCGACGGCGGTAGCGGTTGCTACCCCGATTTCTGCTGAAGAGTGGCGCAGAAGAAGGCTGCGTTTTTACGGATGGTTGCTGCTGCTGCTGCTGCTGCTGCTGCTGCTGCTTCTGCTGCTGCCACCGCCGTTTTGTTGTTTGTTGGTTGGCCCGAGACCAAATTAGTCGTCTGCCTCTCCACCGCCTTTCCCGGCCGCCAGCTAAGCGAGAGCGGGTCCTGCTTGTTGCACGTTTGCCTGCTTCTCGAGCCCCCAACTCCATCCCTACCCGAATCAAAGACCCTAACCCTGACCCCCAACTCGATCGAACGCCTTGCTCCAACTGTCTGAACAACTCGAACCCTCATCCGGAACCAACCCGCCCGGCCGTTGAGTCTACCCCAACCACTTCACAAACCCCATATCCCGTCACCCCGGACCCAAACAGGTCAACGACACGTTCGAGGTGATCGAAGCGCCGGGCTCGGGAAAGGTCTTCGCCGTAGGAGACTGCATGGATCTACCGGTCCCCAAGATCGCCTACCTCGCCGGTGCCGAGGGTGACAGCGTGGCCAAGCAGGTCGCCGCCAGCGCGGCCGGGAAGCCCCTCAAGAGCGCCGCGCCGTCGGTGATGCCGGTGTCCCTGGTCCCCGTGGGAAAGACCGGAGGCGTTTCGTCCTTGCCGATGGGGATCGTCGTCGGGGACTTCATGACGCGAAACATGAAGTCCAAGGACATGTTCGTGTCCAAGTATTGGGCCATTCTCAAGGCCGGGAGGGCTCCCGCCGCCATCTGAGCGGAGTTCGCTTTTTTCTGTTTTTTTTCCATCTCTTTGACTACGTGTTGCGCTACGTAAACGAAGAGAGGGGTTGATTCCGTGAGAGGAACCGCGGGGGTTGATCTGATTTGTTTTTGTTGTTGAAGTTTGAGCTGTTTGGTTTTTTTCTTTGGCGTTGCTGTTGGCCTATACTCTGTGTAGACTGGTCTACATATTGAACCTTGGTGGACAATCGTGGCTCCGACATACATGGTAAGAGGGTGGTGTGACAAAGGCCCTCTCCGCCCTCTTATATCGGAGCCCCCTCTTATCGTTCGGAATGAGAGAGTACTCGACTAACTAAGAGGGTCGAGTCCGTGACAACCGATCTTTTTTTCGTATTTAGCCAAGATTGTGTTGGGAGATTTTCGTTGACGTTTTTTCTTGTCAGCGCGGGAACTAGCGCAGCGACCTGCGACCAGGGAAGGATAGGCATCAACAGTTACATTAGCTACAAACCCCTGGTCACGTGGTTGCTGTCACAAACATCGGGGAGAGTGTGGGCGAACGGAACGATGTAGCGTACGGGTAAAAATCTGCCTTGCGTCACCGTCTGGGGCTACTTGAGCTGACACCGTTGGAGGAATGCTGCCCGTCGGGGCCGTTAAACGTTCGAGGCTTGCAGTACCAGCCCGCGCGCGATCTGTCGCGGACAATTTTGGATTAGGCGTTTTGCAGAGGGTTGACATCCACCAGTTTCCTGTCTATGCGAGGAATGTTCCCTTCAGATCTGGTAGTTTTCGTGTGTGTTCTTGCAACGAACTGGAGGTTTTTCGGTACCGGGAAGGTCGCCCCTGTCTGTCTTGACTTGATTGAGTTCGTTCTCACTTGGCGTAGGAGTCGCACGTTTTGAAGCCGCGACATAATAAGTATTGAAATAGCACCGTCTACACATGAATTGAATTCCTGCCGGCCATCACGGGATGTCCTGTGCGAGGATTGCAGATCCCAACATGTCCTGGGCATCCAGGAGGTGCAGCAGGCATCACTCAATCTTGCTCCACGGAAAGAGCTCACAACGCAACAGGCATATGGCGATAGCCCTATGTGCCCTGGAGCTGGTCACGAGCCAAAACCCACAAATCAATACCCGTCAAACCTCTCTCCCACGCAAGCTCCGAGCAACCTCTGCGTTGTGTGCAGTAGACACACAAGTAAAGGCTTCGAAGACGACAGAGAGAACGAAGCTCCTACTAAGACCCACGTGCCACATGCTGCATGAAGCAAATTCTTTTTCTTCTGCGACCTCAGTTCTGTAAACCTTCCACCTTCCGACATCAAGGTAGTCTGCTCTCCTTGGATACAAATGGGGAGAAGGGGGGGGTATTTCCGACGCGCAATACCTCCAACGGTTGGTCGAAATTGTACGAATATTTTCCAATACACACACGAGCGTGCGCGTGTCCGTTGGTCAGCCGGCCAGGGCGGTCGATATGCTGAACAATCCCACGCAGGAGACAGCAAGAGGGAAAAACCACGCACAATCCACTGCATCGAAAAACAAGACATCGACGGGAAAGGAAAAACAAACGGGCATCCGATGTAGTCTACGTATCATCGATGGTCGACGCGGCGGCCATTTTCTCGATAAGGGCCCATGACCCACCACAAGACGCGGCGCGCTCCTCCCTTGAGCGGTGAGCGAGACCTACTCATGTAGATAGAAGCCCTGCGAGAGCCCTCCCAAGACAGTAAGCAGTGCCGCCGCCTTTGCGTGGCACAACCTTCCCATCCATGTGCCGGGGACAGGGATTACAAAAACATACCATTGAGGAAGGACGGGAGAAAGTACGCCTACCTGACTGCAGGACAACCAACCGCCTGCGTACCTTTTTCTCTCTCTCTCGATGTACGTGGCACAAATACGAGTTATCTTCTTCGCCCCTCGCGGCCTGCCCACACCTTGCAACGAACACAGCCACCCAACAAAACATAACGCGTAAACAATACTCCAAGCCATCACGTGCCGCGATCGAGTAGTCTATAGTGTAGCAATATTATGGGCTATCCAGAGCCTGGGTCTTCCCTCGAGATCAGACCAGTCACGGACCGCTGCTGCTACGACACTGATATCTACTGTTTACCACCTTTCTTTCTTTCTATATACAACCACACCAACAAACAGACCATTGAATGCTTTTAAAGGGGGGACGGCTATCACAAAGAAGCGACCTCGGTACAGGTCGCGCACACGCAAAATACCGAAAGTAGACGGAAACCAAAATTAACACGCACACGAAGGTACAGCCACCCAACAGCAGTAGCAGGCAGTCAGCCACTTGACGACTTCTGATGCTGGATGCATACTTAAGCGATACCCCCCCCCCCCCAACAACTCCGTCTCGAAAGGGACGCGTGGTCAATGGTCAAATGACTACGGCAAGCAACAAATGAGTACGCCCCCCCCCCCAACAACTACAAACACCATCAGAGTGAGGATCTAACGAGAAGACATGATTCGGCATCACAAGGGCAACAACAGCGGTAGACGGTAGTGACGGAACAGTCCAACAACGGACTTTGGTCGATCAATCAACAGACAGGGAAAGCTTGGCCGCTAAGGCGACCCGAGCCCCCCGTCGACCTTCCACGGTACGTTCCACGGAACTACAACACTCGAAAAAGGCTACGTTGAGCGAGATATACAAAGAGAGAGAGAGAGTAACCCTGTCGGCGTGTGTACTCCATCCAGGGTCCCCCCCCTCCTTAGGCGTGTGGCGAACCCCAGCACCCAACACCAGCCGCGAAAATCAGGACGAGAACACGCGAGAGCACTCACCGCCCCCCTTTCTCCCACAGGCCGGACACACGCAGCGCCAGTTTATACGCGGAGCAACCACCGCCCGCCCAGCTACCCTTTGACGGCGACTTTCTCCGTGACGCCCGCCAACGATGCCGCCAAGTGCACTTCATGCAGCCGAACAACCTCGCAATGCCCCCCGGGTCGAAGGAGAAGATGCCTGAGGGCAGAGCACCGCCAACGTCAAACCTTCTCCGGGTGCAGCTGAGAAAGCTCGTCTCACGACCAGTACCCTTACCTGTCGAAGGGCCTTCTCCTCCCCCCCGCATCCCCAAACCCACCGCGTCCGACACGCGGCAGGTCTTCCTTGAGGAACTAGGTCCCCCTTGTCAGTTTTTTTTTTTTTATCTGTCCCCCGTCGTATTAGTCCGCCTGCCGCCGGCCTGTCGTTGTGTTTGATATTTTCATTCATTTCATCGGCGCCAGAAGCCGCGCGCCCACTCCGTTGTCTTCTCTAAGACGCATGGAGACCCACCCGCTATCGATCTGTACTCTTTCCACCCCGTCCAGAATCTGGGTCTGTCGTGAGAGGACCGGAAGGGGGGCGGGGGGCGGGGGACGGGGGACGGGGTGGCGTATTAACATTTGCATTGATCACGTGTCCTTGAGAGGACGGAGGGGGCGGGGGTATTGTTTTCTTCCATAGTCATTGGACATTTGGTTGGTGTGTTGTTGGTGTATCGCATCCTCTTGTGCGAGAAGGAGCGTCACTTGCCAATTTCCATTTCTGCGAGACGCTCCTCGGAAAAACATATGAGGCGCTCCTGACGCGTTGGGTCGACTTGCTTTTCCGAGCACGTTAAATCGCCTGGAGAACCCACCACAAACCCTCGGTCTAAACCTCCCGTTTAAGGGTTTCGCGTATCGAAAACACCATATCCGGGGTTGGTCGTCGTAGATGTGCACGAAAGCGCATGTTGACACGAACCCACCTCGACACGTCGAAAAAAACGAATCACATACTTCTTCGCCATCCCCAAAGTAGGCTTCTATGCCTACCTCTGTCGCAGCGTATCCGTCAAACCGTTCCGCGGTCAAAGATAAAAAAATCCATCTGGCTCAAGTACAAAACATCTAAACGGAAAAATAAAAAACGACACAAAAACGGCAAAAAAAACTTAAAATCGCCTCCTCCCCTCACCTTGCCGGTTGCCTTCAAAATATCTCCCGGATGCACGATCTTGACTACCTCGCCGGTCTCGATCTTAGCGGTACTTCGGACGATGATGCCGTCGTTGTAGACCACCTGCATGGCAACATTAATGTTGGGTTGGGTTTCCCAGGATGTTTTTCATCAAGTCAAGGTCGATTTCCGAATCCTAAACACCCCCATTTTAAAGAAATACACTTCCCTTTTCCCCCAGCCTGTTTAACCCTCGTGCGGCTTGTTCCTGTTCCTGTTCCTGTTCCTGTTCCTCTCTCTCTCTCTCTCTCTCTCGCCAATATTCGTCCCTTCCGTCTTGATCATGCAAACGACCTGCGACCTCGACATAATCTGTTCTGTCCCTGATACCCCCTCGTTTGTATACGGTAATCTGTTTGATGTTGCATTTGTGTTCGGTTGAGCGGTAGGAAGCCACCAACACAAAGTGGTTTTGCGTTCGTCCGGCCCATGGCACCGATCGGTCATGGCGTCGGGAAAAGAGGCCCCAACCTAGTGGTCCACCGGGCCGAGACATGAGAGGCAAGTAGGTAAAGCAGCATTTCACCAACGTCTTCCTTGTATTTCCTCTCTCGTCCCGTCACGGCCTACATCATCTCAGGGGGTCTTCGTGGTGCTAGGACAGCCTCCAAGGCGCCTTCCTTCCTTCCTCCCATTCCATCCCATTTCCCCACAGAAACATTTCGCGGGTAACCGCGTAGAGGCAGGTTCGATCCGCGACAATATGCCACAAAAAACGGTGGCTTACGGTATGCGTTTGTTGATACGCGTGTAGGCGTCTTCCGTGGGTGTGAGGAAAGGCTCTGGCGCTTCCTTTCGCCTCCCCCCCCTCGCAACCCTAAAGCAGTGTTGTACTCCCTCACCTTGTATCTGGAGCACCTCTTGGTCGGCTCGATTATGCCGTACCCGTCTTCCGTGCTCAGGCTCGCCCAACCGTTTACCGGCTTTACGATGTGCGCTCGTCTTTGCCGCACCTCGGACACAGAGACAACCTTGATGGGACGTACACGAACGACGAACACAAAAAAAAAAATGTAGTTCTCCGTCACCCCCACACCCGTTTTTGTCGCACTTCCACCCCTGTGGAACTCCAAACTTCCGACCGGGGATGAAACGGTTTTTCCGATGGCAGAAAGGCGACCGTAGGGGGCGGTGTGTCTCCAGGTTGGCACTCGGGACACTTACCACCCCTTCGGTGATATTTTCGCCCTCCGTCTTTCGTCAGCGTCTTTCCTTCGTTTCCGCGCCCGAAGTGAAGTACAAAACTTTGTGCGGAAACCCGCCGCAGACACGCAGCGAAGCATTCATGGTGGGTCGTGCGTGGAACTACCGACAGGCCCAGCGCGAATACCATTGCTACACACTCTCTTATGTTCCAAGACCTCCAACTTACGGACAGAGCTGTAGAAACCCATACTCTATAAATCCGCAAGACAGAGGGAGAAGGACAATCTTCGCTCATACGGGCTGGCCGAAAAGGTTGCAATAGCTGGGTTTTCCAACATAGCGGCGCCTTCCACTACTCCGCTGTGTCATAAGGTTCAACATCTGTTGGTGCAACACGTGGTGGCGGCGCGAATCTAGCTCAGATGGACTCACCGTGCCTCTTCGCAGAGTCCTCAGAATCGGCGAATCCAACCGCAATTCCTTCCGAACCGACGCCCCCTTCAGCCCCACCACAACGAACTTATCCCGGTTCTCTGTGGCAGCAGCGGCACACCACCAGCAAGAGCGGCAAGAAAAAAACGGAGCAAATGAGGGCACGGATGCGGGCTAGGGGGATGATAGGAACCAAGAGACGACGGAGGAATCCGGGTGAGTGCCAGGCATCTGGTATCGACTGGGGCAACATCTAGAGACGGGGGTGCGGCGGTGGTGATGTTCCACAAGAAAGTGCGACGAATCAAAGTCATTTTCCAGCAACTATAATACTACAGCACGTATGATAGTAACCTCACACCCTCACACCGGGACCAGCGACCTCGAGCCTCCAAAAGAGCGAAGTGCGGCTGCTTGCTCAATCAATCAAGCTTGGGGCGTCGCGGCGACTTGGACAGGTTGACTAGACGTTGCTTTGTTATCGCCTCAGAGAGAGATTCGAACCCACAACGCGCTGCTAGTACTTGTAGGTTCACGAGGATACCCACAGATGCAGCAGTACTTAGCCGGACGTAAGAAACGTCAATTTCCGGGTCGGGACTAAATTTCTTGTTTTATTTCGACACCGCTGCCGAGAACAGGTTGATATTTTATTTGCATGGTAGACTTCACAGAATAGGATCATCGGCAAAAGCTGTGTTTCTTAACCCCCAATTTTCATGTTTTTTCGTGGGAATCCAAGCTTTTTTCATGTAGGATTCTTCTTGATGAAAACTGCGGGCCCACGCTCTGTAGACCGAACGGGCTGCCGGGCAAACGTCGTGCTTAGTTCACAATACAGCGGGGGGCCCTCAATAACGCCGGTATGTGCCCGTCGCATCGACCGGCGCTATTCAGATGGACCGCCGCTGTTCACTGTTCAGAATGACTTGGGTGATGCAGCCTGTGCCCAGCAATTTTTCCGGCGCTACACAGGGCCACTGGCGCTAACCAACCGCCGTCGTTGACGCCCCCCCACTGAACGTCCGATAGTGCTGCTGGTGCCCAGTACAAGACCGCGTGTCGGTGAACGTTGTTGGCACCTTCCTTCCCTTGTGCCCCCCCCCCCCACCCGATGTTTGCCATCGGGGTTGGGTTTTCGTCGCTTGGCAACGACGTTGTAAAACATGCCGCCCCCCCCGGTGTTTGTCATCGGGGTTGGGTTTTCGTCGCTTGGCAACGACGTTGTAAAACAAGCCCCCCCCCACTCGGTGTTTGCCATCGGGGTTGGGTTTTCGTCGCTTGGCAACGACGTTGTAAAACAAGCCAATTCACTTCGTGAACTCGGCAACCAGGTTACCGTTTTTTTTTTTACCTCGGTTTTTTTTTGGCGGTAACCATAATGGTGGTCGAGTAGATCATGTTGTGCGGGGTCGAGAACCCTCACTCCGCGCAACGGGGGATGATCGCACCACGTTGTGTTAAAATGGTCAAGCTTCCTCGAGGCAGTTTCACAGTGCTTACAACTGTCTCTGGAAGTGAAAGCACCAGAAAATAAATTAAGTCATACGTAGCTGTCATCCGTACGCAAGGAAGTAAGCACAAGATGTCGAACACCCTTAGCAGGATGCAGCTCACCCTTCATGCGACTCGCCAAATACCTCACGGCGCTTCGCGCTTGGTGATGTGAGAGCCTGGTCCGGTGAGAACCCGGCGTGCTCCGTCCCGGCTTTGTAGGGATGCGAGGTCAATGGTCAAACGACTACGGCATGCACGACTATGAGTACACCCCCCCCCCCCGGGCCGGCGAAAACCCGGCGTATCGCTCCTCCGTCCCGGGAGTGTAGGGATGATCCGAGGTCAACGATCCAATGACTACGCCATGCGTTTACATGAGTATACCCCCCGACTTGGACGCGGCAACACATCGCGCTCAACGTAGCATAGTCACATCTCCTCCCTTGCCCTGCACCCCATCTTCGTACGTTCCGCGCTGTCTTGTTGGGTGGCGGCACAGTCGTGGCTCCGTTTAAATGGGTGGTGTGACAAAGGCCCTCGACCGTCTTATGCTGGAGCTCCCTCTTGTGCTAGCGGGATAAAAAGGTACCCGATCACACTTGCGGTGGGTCGAGTCCGTGGCAAACCGATTTCGACCCTCTTGTGTCGGAGCCCCCCCCCTCTTGTAAGGTATCTTATATTGGAGCGCCACGGCTGCTGTTGTACGTGTGTTGAATGTTTTCCGGCAAGCATCGAGCGAACACACAGCTCAGCGAGACAGTCACGGCAGCCGCGGACGCAAGGGGTAGAACTAGCAGCTGTGAGACAAACCCAGGTTCTTTCAGAAAAGGGCCCGGACATGAGACGCTTCAAAATCGGGTCGAGGCTCAGTTTCTCTATTTCATCGCCACGCCTGTCGAGCACAGATTTTTGAATAGCAGAGGTTAGTCTAGGATCCACCGCTGAGCCGCGCATATTGTCCAATTTTTCGTTAGTTGAACTTCTGTTTCTGGACGAACTTCGAAGAACAGTACTTCCTTCACGGCGGGGCCGTTCTGCACCCCGCTTGTTCCTGGTGGGTAAATAATAACTTGGAAAATCAATGTGTCTTTCAGTTACCACGGTATGCAAAGTGGTGTCGCGATCGGCAGTACACCCTAATAGTTTTGTGCCCCGAACATGGTTCTATCCTTTCTCACCGACAGCACAAGGCCAACTCCTCATTTCTATCCACCGTTCATGGAAATCTTGTACAACCCGCGTCACTGCTGTGAGTTTCACTTCTACGTTTTTCTTCCTATAGTATGACACAATGAATCGATCTCTATCTATAGAAAAGAGTCTTAAGATAGATTAGACATGAATCCACAACTTTTGTTTCTTGCCTCCTCCTCGAGAACCGGCTCTTGGAATGCTCCAACGGCTCGCATGTATGTGTGTACACAAATCACGAAGGCACACACACCCACGAATCACGGCGGCAAGGATGATACTGCAACGAGACATTTATGCGTGTTTGCGATCTTTCCGCAGAAGACGAAGGAAGCAATCGGAACTGCAATCGGAACTGTGAGGTGTTGCTCAGGATATCTCTCCGGGGGGCTCTTGTCGAAACACCTCTCTCCCCCCGACGTGACGCGCTTACGTACGACAGCCGTGCGTATATTATTCGTACGTCTTCACTTGATCGACTTGAACAAGTCGCGAGGGAAGGGATTGCTGTACCCTTCTCGCGATAAAAATAGCTCAGGCAGGAACCGCAGGAGGGGGTCCAACCCCCCCCTCCTATGTGATCCCGGTTGGGTCGTCTAGCTAGTAGAAATGGAGGATGGGGGCCAGAGAGGCAGACGACAGAGTCCGATGATGGGAGAAAAAAAAAAATATATATATATATATAGTAGCTGTGCAGTAAGCACCCGCTTAACCCTTACGTGACTGGGTTAATTTGTTTTTTTTGTTTTTCCCCCCACAACTGGCTCTCTGCGGTCAAGATCTTCCAAGCATGCGTGTACTACACCCAAAAATCACGGCGGCAAGGATGGTGTAGCAGTGGGTTCATGTGTGGGGCTCACAGGGATGGGGACGCGGTGTATGTAAGGGTGACGAACAATAGTACAGTAGTACTACTACTGCTGTACAGCAGTAGCAGCTATGCGGAGAGAAATAGACTGTACAGCAGCAGTAGTTTCTGAACAGGTGCGCATGCCTGTCTCCGACAGCAACCGTCCGCACAGAGGATGTACCTGTGCAAGCAATACCTGTTGGCACATCGTTTCCACCTCATCCTTGGACAGAGCATACGGCAAGCGCATACGCTAGCGGCGTTAGATGCGAAGACGCTGACGGGAAAACGCCTCACAGAAGCGCCAGATCGACGAAAAAATCGGCCCGCTCATCAGAGAATCGAGACCATCATCCACTATCGCACAAAATGCATAAAAATCGCGATACACTTTACTATTGTGTACTAATTGGTTTTAGGTTTGGGGGATGTTTTTGGTGTTGGGCAGGCAATATGGAGGCAGGATCAATTATTTCGGGCGCACACGCCGTTCGGGCGACGCTCAGTGGTTGTGTGCAAAAATCACCAAAGCTGCGGGAATCGGGCTCAAGGCGGGTCGGCGCACGGACATAACGCTTGTATCCCCTAGCCCACACACCCACGCTTCGTTAACACGGGTGGTGAAAAAATCCTTTCTCAACAGCAAATACAACAAATGGCCCTGGTGCCAGGTGTCAGTCAGTGCAGCCCGGCTTCTGTGTGATCAGCGGAATCAATCGTGTACGGAGGAACAGTTTTTCTACGAATCCTCTCACACTTGCCGCTGCTAGTATGGCAAATTTAATTGCAATCCATACAATCTCAAGTAGTTAAGCAATTTTCGGTTTTCAGGAGACGATAGGTTTTTAGGAGACGATACTTTAGGAGACGATATTATAAGAGAGCTGTGATCGGAGCTGTAGTCCCGAAAACGCTTGCCTTTGAGCGAAATTTTGTACACAGCAGACGAACTACCCATTCACTCCCAATACTGGGAACCACACCCATCGCAATCACAACAACATCAAGCACCGAGGCAGTACGTTAGCATCGGCTCCGGTGTGCGCTTTCTCTGCTCTCCCCCGCGGATGCGGCACCGGGTTGATCACATGTTCAGGGTGCTGTATGTACCCTCCGGTGGTATTTTGCGTGTGAATCTTACAGCAGTACCGGCAGGCAGTAGATTGGATCTGGAAAGGATATCTCTCCACGTCAGAGAGATTAGGCATGGATGGGTGAAAAGTGTTGTACTATGTGAGTCCTGTGCGCATTGCTGATAGGCGTGCTTTTGGGATGGGCTGCCAGTGTCTCCCTGCTGGTCTCTCTGTACGTTTTTTGCTCTTAGCCGAGGAACAACGGCGATCTTTCGGCACGCAAAGTGATCGGAGCTGAGAACCGAGCTGAATCGGCCCGTAGTCACGTAAGGGGTAAGAACCCTCGTGAGCTACAAATGGCCACAACATAGGTTTTAGTGTTGGGGTCCTGAACCGGGCTCAGAATCAGGTGCTAAAATATTGATCAGACGTTTTGAGCGTAAAATTAAGTTAATGCCAAGTTCGGGCGCTTTTTCTGCAGTGCCACAATATGCGTGCTCAATGCATATTTGGTACACTAGAAGCAAGCGCCAGCTGGGGATGTGATCGGCATCCCTCTCCTGTGCTTGGCTACACATAGAGGAACAAGCCGCTCGGGTTGCCCCACGGTGAGGAACGGTGCGGGGAAAGGTGCCCGGGTATTTGCACCGTTCGGGATTCTTAATGCGAATCACCGATCACGGCACCAGCCCCACACCTTACTGAACATTGATTGATATAATGTTGGAAGCTGTCCATGAGGCGAGGAAAATTGTTGTGCGAGTGCTCTCGATTCTGAGTAACCTGTTGTGGACCTCCGCGCAGTCTCCAATAAAATCTTGCGAGTGTGAACGCCAGGGAGGGACTGCGACCCGCACCGAAGTTCGGGCTTGTTCCGATACAGGCACCCAGAAGACTGCATGCAGAGACTAAGAAAAAACGGGGAACACTCTATTAGCAAAAGCATGTTCCCCCCGATACAGCAGCGCTCTAATCTCAGTTTTTTGCTGGTCACTACATGTTGTATTCCTTCGTCCGCTCCCTGTGCAGACCGGCCGTGACCCTGCCTCTACGTGTCTCTGTGGCATGTAGAAATGTGTGGTGACGCCCGGCTGGCGTCGCCTCGGTCGCGAGAATTCTAGACAAGAGTGGCAGTCACGAGTACGCGTCAGTGTTGTCTCTGACTATACACGAACACCAACAAGACGCGCAGCAGGATAAAAAGATCTGGAATTTCGTTCTACTGCTGTAGATCTCGGCTGCGCTCTTCTAGCAGCTTGTGGGGGGAGAGGCACGGGGCAATGCACACTCCCCGGCTGATTGAGAGTGGTCGAGGTGTTTTGGAGTTCTGCACACTCAAGACCGCGGGGGGGCAGTGTAGGACGGGCGCGTCGCTGTCGCAGGTCAAAGCTCGGGTTGTCATTATAAAATGTTCGGGGTATTGAGTTGTCGACTGTTATGATACTACAATATACTCATCGCTTCGGTGACACGCAACGATGGACCGATGCCCTCGTCCCGGGTACGGCGGTAGTGCTGTAGGCGAAGAGGATCTGGATTTTCGACAGTAGAAAAGATTGGAGGTCGGGACCGGCAACACATCGCCAACACATGCAGTAGTTTTCTCTGGTAGTAATTTAGCCAACACATTGGGGGTAGGCAGCCAAACAGTCCGAAATGAAAGAGCCGAATGTTCGCTGAGCTGACAACCAAAGAGACGTGTTTTGTTGTATGACGGAGACTTCTTGCCCATCCACGCCGACCCATCCAAGACACACACAGAGAGCACAACGAGGGGAGGGAGGCGATCCACCTGGGAGGTGAATAATAAAACAGAAGCAGAGAGACGTTGGAATGACAAAACCACCACCATCGTTCGTGCCGAAAAATGCCGTCAGGAACGGGCTGCTTTACATTGCGCCAGCCAGGGTGCATAATATAAGTCTGAGGCTCTCTGCCTCCTCGTCGTCTTCTTGCTCACCGTCTGTGATGAAAACGGATTCCTCTTCCCCTACCGGGAAGCAGAAGCAGTTGTACTCGATCTGTTGTTCCCTTTCCTTCGAAGCGGCACCATCGTCAACACACCCGCATAAAGATAGCAGTTTAAAGGACATCTCACGCAGGCCCGGAGCGGTCAAGCCGATGTGGACAGCAGCTAACTCGGATCCTGTGGATGGCTGGGTTGGACTGGTACCTGGGTACATGTGTTGATTGGGTTCTGAGTTCCGGGCATTCCGAGTTTGGTTGTTGTAGTCGGTAGCAGTCAACGCTCATACACGACATAATTCTGACTTCTGTTGACTTGGAGCAAGACTGCGGTGCTGGTGCTGCCATAGCTGTCATCGAATGTTTACAATCACCCGTCGGAATCGAGGGTATTTTGACAGTCCCGTCAAATTCGAGAATTTCACCAAAGAACAGACCAGCAGCAGCAGCAGCAGCAGCATCATGTGTGGGCAGCCGAAACCACAGAGCAGGCCAAAGGTCCACTACTGCTGATGTATCACAATGCACCGCATGATCCCTTGCTTGCGCTACAAAGCCTCTCGGTTTTTATACCCGTCTGGACCGTGTCGCCGTCGTGGCAACACGGACGAGAGGTCGAGATCTGAAGCAAGAACAAACACTGCCCAGCTGCTGACCTTGATGACCTCAAAGGAGAGTAATTCCCTGGTTGGTTCCTTTTGGTATTTGGCCCGGCTCGTTCCGGATATTTGATCTGGTTCTCTCTCTATTTATTTGATCCAACGGGCGCGAGTAACGGGCACCCTCTACACAGATACACTGCTAGCAGTGTATCTGTGTAGAGCTGCGTGCTATTATTGAGTCCCCTACTTATTATGTAGCTGCAGCGGGGGACCGGACAGAGCATTTATTTCTCGACATACGAAGTAGTGTTGAAAGTTGAAAGCGCGCTGGTTGGAAGCCAAGTTCAGCCTCGGTGGCCGCAACGGCGAGCACCTTCTTTTTTTTTTTTTTGTACCTCTCGATCTCATATGTTGCTCGGGCAAAGATCGAAGAGGCTGGGCTTGTTCTATCGTCGGAAATGCCGCAACAATTATTATTGGAACTTTTTGCTCCGGCCATATGGAACCAAGTGATGTTGATGCATGCAGTGGATCCCAACTCTCGCGCGCGCGGTCCGGCCCTCTCAGGCCATTCACACTCACCAGCCGTGTACAACGCGGTGGTGATTATCAAAAAAAGCTTGCAATCATGTGCGCCGTAGGTACCTTACTGCCGATATTTCCCGCTATGCACTGGATATCTCCGTGATTAATGTATGCATCAGAACAACAACAGCAGCACAACGTGGGTGACACGAGCACATATATATGCATGTATGCAGAATAGACAATAACGAGCGCCCAACGAGCGGGTCTGTAGTCTGAACTATGTACAACTTGCAACTTGAACCGACCCTCAGGCTGATTTTTTTAAAGGAGTCCTTCCCGTACATCAGAGTGCAGAAGAAGGTGAAGATCGTTGCAAGCTCAGGTCTACCTGGACGCTGAGTGAGGCTCTATGACGTCAAAGGTGCCGCTGCGGTCTACTTTCGGTCTGCTATAGTGACTCTTTAGGTCTAACCAATGCGGAATGCGGAGAGGGCGCCGGAGAGGAATCGACCGCCCCAACCAAGCCTCGACTAATCAAAGGGCGTAAAAGCCCCGTCGTAATGGGAACAGCCACCAATACCACCGTAAAAACTGCCGCTGTAAACTGCTGTGTTTAATAGTAATGATGGTCAATTTCGGGTGGGGGCGCGCTGGGTTCGTGTTTGTGTATTATTACATCGCCACACCGGAGCACACTAAGATCGAACAATGTAAATTGTAGGTAGACTTCTCCCATCCACGTCCGACAATAAAAATGTGCGAAGAGGGAGAATTACTCGTCCTCGAAAGTGCGTGGGAGCAAATGTAGGACCGGCCCGCCCGTGTTCAAAAGAGGTCACTCCCACAGCCGTACCATAGAGAGCGTACATAGCATCCATTGAAGCTACGTTCTATCGTACATAGACTATATTTTTCCAGGATATTTTTTAACAGTATAATATTTTTTGTTGACCTATATATACTTCATGGCGAGCGGGGGGCGGCCGCGTTCTCTCAAAATCTTGTACAAATACCAACCTCGAACTGACGCCACGAATCTCCTCGCAGCAAAAGAGATTGGAGAAGGACCCACCGTACTGAACTTAAATGTAGGTTGTAAACAAAGAGTAGTGAATTTTACAATACGGGAGTGCAACACACAAAATATTTAGTGGCTAGTACACGACGACGTGAAAATAGAACGAACGATGCGCGCGTATTATTATCTAGATACTTATGCTCCGAGACGGTCGTACATTCTACAGCAAAACGTATAGAACATTCTATGTGTGTGAGCGTCAACAACCAAATAACACCAAGAAACCGAAAGCTCCCTCCCTATAACTGAGACGACATAAAAAATTAACACGTGTGCCCTTCTCCCTGCTGCTGCCATCAATTGATTGCTACAACACCAGCGGCAAAAGTAGTCGGAACATACCCCCATAGCCGGAGGGAACAAAGCTAATGGGGACAGGGAGGTACTGCCCCATCTTCCAACCCCACTGCTTCAGTCCTTGATGAGAGTGTTCCTACCAGCTGTGGTGGGTAGAGTAGCCGCCCAGCAGCAACCCGCCAAACAACCAAGAGTTCTTCTCAAAAACGTGCGTCCAACGGCAGACAGCTGTAACGCCCGTTGTACCTTCTCGAAGCTCAAAAACAGCATGCAACGAACGCACGCCGTGATTGAGAGCTACTTGTCTGACAACAAACAAATAAAAATCGCACGCAGTGATGACTGCTGCATGTTTCACCTCTACATGTATCAACTACACATCACAACCTGGCGCAGCACCGACGGCGATCGGTTCGTGCATTCCGGCGTTCGATCGGGCGAGAGGAAGAGAGAAAGAGAGGGAGAAAGAAAGAGGACTGATAGAGGACGAGGGAGGGGGGCTGCCTCCCCAAGTTGTCCCTTCTATGCTGCGCGTGAACAAAAATATAAAAAACAGCAGTCAGTGCCTCTTGCAGGCCAGCGTTAACTTCGTATCAAACATGCCCCCCAAGATAACAACGACTACTGTAACCAAAACCACACTAGTCAGTCAGTCATGATACCGTAAAAAAACAACAAAAGCTTGCACACGCACAAGTACACACAACCAACCTCAGGCACAAGACCAACAAACATGCTAAAATAACCAGAGATGTCCGGGAGGATAACCATGAACCTTTTTGTCAACTCAACTCTTCGTTTGAGTGGTTTTCGGCGTGCGCCTATTTCCTGGTGTAATTTCCCGTTCAACTCCTCTTCCAAGCCACACCGCCACCCAAAGTGCACTCTAAATCCTACCGTGCTCGTTGCATCCAGGGCGCCCGTAGTTCGTGTGCCCAAGAAACAATCTTCACAGCGCAACCACCGGGTTTTCCACAAGAAGCACGTTCCTAACTAGTACTACAGGGCAACAGGACGGTCCACAAACTAGACTACCGCCAACGGCACGAGACAAGCACGCCATCAACGTAAGGTTCAACCCGCCGCCGTCTCTCCCTTCCAAGTCCTGACTCTCTACACAGCCGGCAAACGCCAGCGGACAACACTAATTGATTCGATCCCGCCCTGGCTCTAGTTTAGCGCCATGAGCAACGGCGCCCCTGACCCCTTGTCTTCCCGCAAGCGCATAGAAACCCAGCCGTCTTCGACCTCTACTCTCTCTACTGCGTCGAAAATCTCCGTCTGCATGACCGAATTTTCGAGCGGGGAGACAAGACGAAGGGCAACGGAACGGACGACCTTGTGTGTGTTGTGCGTGTGTTTTTTCGTTATTACTAGCGTATACCGTGCAACACGGCTGGTTAGGGACAAGACATCAAGTATGTCGTGTGTGTTTTCTTAATGAACATCGACAGTGCTAACCGGCAGACCAATGAAAAGACGTCGTTCTTGTAGCGGGATAAAAAAACACCAACACTTACTACTAAAGGGCCAAAGATGCGCCGTCCGTTCCAGGGCCCAGCACCCACGCGAAAACGCACCAGCAAACATCGCACGCACCCCTTCCCGCGCCCGGCATAACACCATTTTGTCTTAGTCGATTCTTGTTTTGGACGAATTCTTGTATTAGTATCTCACCTTGCCGGTGGCCTTGAGCACCGTCCCGCACGGCGCAATTCGGACTATCCGCCCGTCCTCGATACTAGGACTGCTCCTCACAAAAATGCCTTCCCGGTAGACCACCTGCATCCCATCGGCGATACGGTTACGGATGAGGGATTCAGGCCTTACATAAGAAGCGGAACGGCGATTTATCTTGTCTCTCTGAAGGCTGTGGTGGCGGAGTTCGGGATATAGGCACACTGCTGCAGCGAACAAAGGCACTGCAGCACAGGGGATCGAAGTATGCGTACAACCGTCACAATGACCACCTCGCGCAGAGGGTCAACCTTCCGGGAGACACGCTACTCGAAAAGAAATAAGTGGGAGACTAGGATACAACGTATGGCGGGTAACCAATCTATTCGGTGGACGTTTGGTAGGAGGTACATACAGATGACCTGCGAAAAAACTAACGCCTTCGCGTCGACCAAACCCCACGACGTAATGGGAAAAAAAGAAAAAACAGTGATTTCCTATTTTCCCCTCCACCACCCCCTCCACCCCATTCCTCCGTTCTCGATCCTCCCCCCAGCACCGACCGGACCGATCCTCGGCGCGGTCGGCGGATCGCTGTTCACGTTGACCCCTCTCCCCCCCCCCCGTCGGTGTTTGCCATCGGGGTTGGGTTTACGTCACTTGGCAACGACTTTGTAAAACAAGCCAATCACTTCGTGAGCCCGGCAACCAGGTTACCACTTTTTTCTTTCTTACCTCTTTTTTTTTTTTTGTGGTAACCATGAATGGTGGTCGAGTAGATTATGTTGTGCGGGGTCGAGAACCCTCACTCCGCGCAACGGGGGATGATCGCACCACGTTGTGTTAAATGGGCCAAGCACCCTCGAGGCAGTTACATAGTGCTTATATCTGTCTCTGGAGGTGGAAGCACCAGAAAATAAATTAAGTCATACGCAGCTGTCATCCGTACGCAAGGAATTAAGCGCAAGATGCCGAACACCCTTAGCAGGATGCAGCGCACCCTTCATGCGACTCGCCGAATACCTCACGGCGCTACGCGCTTGGTGATGTGAGAACCTGGTCCGGTGAGAACCCGGCGCGCTCCGTCCCGGCTTTGTAGGGATGCGAGGTCAATGGTCTAACGACTACGGCATGCACGACTATGAGCACACACACACCCACCCCCCCGCCGCCGAACAGTGTCGCACCTTATACTTGGTTGGTCTCGCGATAGCTTCCAAAATTACGTAACCGCTTTCCGTCGACAAGCTAGCCCACCCGTCCATTGGCTTGATGATGTGCGCCCGTCGCGATCGCACCTGTGCTACCACAACCACCTGTCAAACGCCGACGCGGTTGGGGGGGGGGGGGGGGGTTGGGGGGTTTGTGGTTTTTGTGTGTGTTTTTGTGGGAAGTTCGCCTCAAAACCCCCAA